TACACCGCGGACAGTGCCTCCTGTGAGGTGCTGGAGGGCCACAACGACAATGTACGGAGTGTGATTGCGCTGCCGAGTGCGGATAGCCAGCTGCCTGTCCTGATCTCGTCGTCATACTCCGGCGAGACGTTCGAGTGGCACCCCTCCCCCACCGGCTACATCCTCCACGCCGGCCACCCTTCCTCCTTCTGGCTCCACGCCCTCTGCTCCACCTCCACTCACTCAGGCAGCCACGCTACCCGCATCACGATTGCCAACCACACCGGCATCTCCATCCCCCACCCCTCCGACCCCAACCGCCTCCTCGCTGTCGTCTCCAACTGCCCCCCCATCATCCTCCGCCGCCACCCATAACACCACCGCCTTTACTCCCCCGAGCACCACGCCCGCATCCTCGCCGCCGCCAGCACATCCGCAGCCTCCTGCGCCATGGGCCTCACCAGCGGATCGACCGACCAACACCGCCGGATGAATCACCCGCCATCGCACTAGCAGCGTTGCTGGTGAGGACTTGACGGCCGACCTCCATGGCATTGCTGCCATCAAACGCCGGCGCCCGCGTGAGCATCTCGTAGAGGAGCGTTCCAAAGGTGAACATGCCGCCCTCAAAACCCTCTTCGGCTTCGCGCAGCTGCTCCGGCGCCATGTACGCCACCGATGGCACCACCGCCATCGTCCCCTGGTTGCTCTTGATGACCATCCGTCCGCTCTTGTGGTCCACCACCACGTCGTGCCCGCCGCCCGTGATCGAGTGGACCTCGGCGAGCGCACGCGCCAGCGCCAGCTCGATGCTCAGCGCCCACATGCGGTCGAGGCCCGAGCCCGAGCTCAGCTAACAGCGGTGTCCGAGCCCGGTCAGCCCGCTTCTGCTCCCGCTGCAACGATCGATCGTGAGACCGCCCGACAAGAAAGGCCTCGGCGAGGAGCTCCTCCAACGACTCGCCGCTGATCCGCGGGTAGATGAGCGCCACATGCGGCGGCTCGAGGCAGAGCGCCAGCGGCGAGACGATCGACAGGCACTCGACGCCCGCGCTCACCGCCGACGCCATGCACACCGCCACCTGCAGCAGCTGCTGTGGCGTTTCCGCAGCTCCAGCAGGACCTTGGCCACCACCTCGCACCCGCGCAACTCGCTCTCCACCACCCGCCGAGCACCATCGGCCCGCCAGCCTCGAGCACCGTCTCCATCTCGCGCCGCCACTGCTCCCGCCGCGCCCATCACGTTGAGCGACCTGAGATCGCCGTGGACGACGCCCGATGCGGCAAGGTACTGCATGCCCTGGGCCATGCAGTGTGCCCAGCGGAAGACGGCCAAGGTGGGGATGGCGAGGTCGGGCGTGAGGATAAACTCAGCGACGATGGACGGCGGCGAGACAGTGACGCCCATAAAGAGGATAACGTTGGGATGCCTCAGACGCATCAGCACGTTGGGATGCCTCAGACGCATCAGCATCGCCGCCTCGTCCGCGAACTTGTGCACCCGCGCCGGATCCCAGTCGAAGCTGCCAGCGTGCGGCTTGCTTCACCGCCACCGCCGTCCGCCACCACATCCCGGCGTAGACCCGGCCGTACGCTCCGTAGCAAACCACCTAGCCGAGCGTGAGGTCGTTGTGGGTGATGATGAGATCGTCGTCCGAGGCGAGCGTGGACACCACCAGCCGCCGCCGATGGATGACCACCACCGCCGCCACACACACACAAAAAAATAAGGGAGATAAAAAAAAAAGGACTCTCAACACCCCCCCCCCCCCCCCCGCAAAAAAAAGGCGCAGTTGTTTGGAGACCAGCGCAAAGTGAGTGGTCTCCCTCTCTCCCCCCCACGCGTGCCGACACCCCCTCCGCCATCCTTCGCCCATGCTCAGGCACTCGTACCCCCTCACCCCCCACCCCCACACCTCACTGTAGCGCCACACGACCACCCTCACCACACCTCGACCCCGACACTCAACCTGTTCCCGCCACCGCCAGCACCAGCAGCAGCACCACCCTTGCCACCACTCCCGCCATGGCGCAGGCGACGAGCGAGGATATGACGTCGGACTCGGAGATTGATAGCAGACTCACGGAAGCGATGAGCACGCTGGCGGACCTACCGGGACTGCCTGATCGGGTGAGTGTTGGCAAGACCACAGGCACGATGGCCAAGCATGTAGAGGTGGATTTTACCTCCATTCCGCCACTGACACCCAAGGAGAGTGCCGAGATGGCGAGTCGCCATCCATGGCTTTGGCAGGCGACGCTGCTCATGGCTGGCTATCATCCCAAGACAAGGTCATGGCGTGCTCGGTTGCCTGGTGCCACCTTATTGGCTCTCTCCATTGTCTGCAGTATTCTGTGGTTTGGTGCTCTGGCTCGATCGCTTACTTCGGTCGTCTTGCTCTCGGCTGCTTGGATGGTCATCGCGATGGAGTCGGCGGTTATCCTCATTGCCCGTCTGGTTCATCGCGGTCGCATTGCCGCCTTTGTCCTCCGCTCTGAGCTGCCGAGAGAGCGACAGATCCAACTGGTGCGCTTGACAGCGTGCGGAGCAGCAATTGTTACCTTCTCGTGCTTGATATCGCTTGGCATTGCTGTCTCCTTTGTCTCGATGGAGCCTGTCTTTGGCCGCAACTCGCCGTGGGAGGTTACGCTCAAGCTTGTGGGGCCTGTCTTGTCTTTTCCGGCCATTGTGTTCTGCGATTGCCTCGTGGCTGTGCCGTGGCTTGTTTCGACAGTCCTCCGCCATGACATCTCACTGCTGACTTACCAGGTGGATAAGACGCGCGCTGCACTTACTGCCCGCGACCACGACGCGCTGTCGGCTGCGCTCACCAACGTGCACTCGCGCCTCAGGCTGACGCGGATGCGCATGTACCAGGCCTCTTCTGAGATCATGGTGGCTTGGACGGTGCCCCTGGCGGGCTTTACGCTCGTTGTCGCCACTCTGTATGTCGCACTGGGCATTGACCTTGTCAACTCGGAGGACGAGCTGGCCTCAGTTCCGTTCGTCACTTGGGCGCTGCTCGGCTACACCGTCTACGTCCACTTTTGCCTGCTCTTGATCGTCTATCTCATCTCGCGAGTGGCGTCGAAGCGTTACAGCAACGAGATGGCCATGCAGCAGCTCGCGCTCGACATTGCTATCTTCAATACTACCGGTGATCCGCGACTCTCGGCACAATGCTCGGTCCTCTTGCACGCCGCCGAGTCGCTGAGGAGCTTTTTCGGCATTACCGTTGGCTCGCTAGTTGTGTCTCGTCGCCACCTCGGCTCAATGGTCTACACCTCGTTGCTGGCGGGCTTCACGCTCGTGCAACTTTTACTCAACAACCGCTCCTGACGACGACGCCAACGACGACAATGATAATGATGGGGCTTGCCCGCATCGATTATGGCTTGGCTCCCACCCGTCGCGCACGATCAACGCCAGGTCGTTGAGAGGCGCTCGTTCCGGATCCAACTGAGCCGCCAGCAGGTGTATGTGATGTATGTGATGTCCTTGCTTTACTGCGATCGCCGGTGCAGCTGTGTGCACCAACCGTCGTCGTGGGCTCTAGGCAGGCACCCGACATCGTCGTTGCAGACTGCCATCGGGAGGGAAGATACGTTAAACAGACGACGTTGACTCTGGCAGTCGTCGCGCTTGTCGCAGCCCGATGGCTGGTCACGGGATCGGCCTAGAACGACGGCGTGGGCGGGAAAGAGTGCGATAGTCGAGAGCCTCACAGACATCAAGCACATGAGCATGGCAACGTGTAATGGTTCTGCGTCGTGTGTCCGTAGAGCACGTTTTGCATGCCGTCAGCAAGTATCGTTCCCATAAAGCGCTAGCCTGTGGGAAATCAAAGATCCGCAGATCACTCGTCAATTCGCTCGATCCATGCCTCGACGGCGTCGTCACGTGTGAGATGGCTGCACTCAAGGACGAGACGGCTCCTGATAGCGCGCTACTCGTTTATGAGGAGGAAATTAAGTCCTATCTGATGTGTGCTGGACCATGGATTTAGCTCGTTTGCGCGAGAGAGGAGGCTGAGCGGCTGATGGCGAGGGCGGGGGCGATCACACCGTTCTCATCATACGGCTGTTCGCCAGAGTACTCGCTCTCTACTCACCGCCACTTGTCCAAGATCGAACTATCCACCCGCGGATCGGCTATGAGCAAGGTGACGACCTCGGGATGGCCGCACGACGACGCTGCTGAGATCGCGTAGTTGTTGCCGACACCCGGATCCACCCGCCCGTCGACGAGGAGGGCGGCCACCACGTCGACGTGTCCGCTCTCGGCCGCCACTTGGATCACCTCGTGGTCGCAGGCGGTGGGATCTGACCGCCCATCGGCGAGCAGAAGCACGAGCGCGTCGGCGTGTCCGTTCCGCCCGCCCATCGCAGCGCACAGCTCTCATCAGCAGTGGGCTCCACCCCGGGCTCGTTCAGCAGCCGCGTCACCAGGGCCACCAAGCCCTGCGAAGCGGCGACCATGAGCATGCTCGTCTTGTCGGCGTCATCCACCACCTCAACAAGTGTGATGGCGAGCGCCTCGTAGGCCTTGCCACCGCACGCGAGCATGGTCCCCACCCCGATCCACCGATCTTCCCCATACCACAGCATGGCAAGGATGCGGACACCCCACCAGACCTCGACCGCCAGCTGCGAGGCAGCCAGGACTCTGACCAGCATCCTCCATCCGATCTCCTCCTCGCCGCCATCACCGCTGTCGATGAGCGACTCGCCGGCGGCGATGATGTCGGCGACGGGCATGACCAGCTGATCAAAGTAGCCACGTCGCCTGACTCCGCCACGAGTGAGCCAATCTATCTGCTCCGCCACCTCCATCCGTCGCAGTGCCATCGAAGCCGCTCGCCAAGCTCCTCTTCCGGCACAATGATCGATGCCTTCCAATGATTGAGCCAATGCCACAGCATGGGCCGAGCCGAGGACCGCCGCATGGATCCGCCGGCATGTACGCGCCAGTGCCACCACGTCGGCCGCGGAAAGCACCCTCACCGTATACGCAAGGTACTGAAGAAGTTCCGTAGGTAGTTTGGTGAGCATGCCTCAACTCCACCGCCCGCTAGACGTGTCTGCGTCTCTGCCCTCGCCGCCCGCCCCGCGACCAGTCGCCGGCTTGTCGATTACCTCGGCAAAGTCCCGGCTGCACACACCCACACACAAACACCAATTTTAACTCAGCTCGACGATGAGAGGTTCGACGACATCGACTCGCCAAAAATGGGGTTCCGCGTCACAGAGCCAGACGGAGCAAGGTCGTCAAAGGCATCACTAGCTCCTTCAGCCTCAGCCTCGACCCATCCTCGCCCGTACTCGATGCCGGCCTCGTTGTCCTCACCCAGCACGCCCGCAGCGATGGGCGAGAACTCACCGAGCTCGAGCTCGACTGGCAGATCGCGGGCAATGTCGAGCGAGAGCTGGAGCGAGAGCTGCCGCGTGAGCGGCCGGCTTGCCTCGACAAACGCCTTGCTCTCACGTCGCTCGTAGTACGCCTCGCGTACCGCGTCGAGCTCGCGGGCCAGCTCACGGTCCTCGAGATCCGGCGCGTGAAGCTCAAAGTGCCGGAACAGCTCCTCCTCGCGGACATCGTCGGGTCCCTTGGCCCGCGATCGCGAGTAGATGTCCTTGACCTCGATCCACATGGTCGAGACAATGACGACGCCAAGCCCACCAATGACCACAAAGGCGACGATGGTAAAGACCGTCCGCGACGCCGGCGACGAAAAGGTGTCCGAGTGAAACATGGCGCCGCAGGTGACGAGGGCGATGCAGCCCCAGCCGACCCGCTCCTCGAGCGTGTTGTACAGCGGGAGCCAGTACGGCTGCCATCGCGCTTGGAGAACGTAGAAGAAGAAGAAGATAAAGATGAGTGACGAGATGAGCCATTCGGCGAGGTTGGAGAAGAACAGCGCAGCAGCCACAATGGCCAGCCGCTTGGCCAGCAGCACGCACTCCATCCACGGGTACGGCGTGCGCATGAGGACGTAGAGCGGGGAGAACCGCCGCATCGTGTCCGGCTCGCGGAGCGTGTCCGACACCGAAAAGAGAAGATACGTGAAGCTTGCCGGGACGCCGATGACAAACAAGCCCAGCGCAGCGAGGCCAAACGGGAGGAGGACAAACCATCTATCCGAGAAGCACTCAAAGCTCGGCTCGGCGTCCAGAAAGTACTTTCCGTTGGGGAACCGCGAGCAATCAAAGAGCGCAAGCGCCGACTTGCTCAGCGGGATGTACAGCAGCGGCGCGACGGTCACCACCAGCCGCTCCACCATCGATCGCGGCTTGACTCGGGCGAGCTCCGAGCCGGCGGCGATGAGCCCGCACCGCTGCGCGAGGCCAAACATGCACGCCCCAAGCACCGCCGCAGCAAAGACCACAGCTGGCACTGCCAGCGAGAGCAGGTACCGCGACGAAAACGAAGTGATCGAGCACCCGGTGGCAAAGATCGACATGTCGAGGTTTGCCACGTTGCCCGGTGACATGGTTCGCTCCACAGAGCCCGGCCATGAGAGCGGGAGCGTCGAGATGAGCCCCAGAATCTGGAGGAGGACAAGCGCCGCAGAGAGCGAGTGCGGGACAGACGACCGGTGCGACGCCGTGTCCTGCGGCTTGGCCATCGCATTCGCCGCCATCGCCACCCCGACGAGGCCCGCCACAACGAGCCCGCACCCAAACCCGGCCATCATGAGGCCAGAGCTCTGCGGGCACGCGAAACATTGCCCATCCGCCGTCCGATAGTACCCGCCCTCGCAGTCCTTGCAGAGAAACCCAGTGTACGCCTTGTGGCACTGCCCGTTGCCAGCGCATGACGACGAAGCCTGCGGGCACGACGCAAACACGCCGCCCTCGGCATCGACCGGGAAATAGCCAGGCTCAGCCCGCGGCTGCGCCCGCCCACCGTCGCACACCGCGCCCTTGGGGCATGCCTCACATCCAGCCTCTGCGCTCGCGCCCGCCCTTTGCCAGTAGCCGCTGGCGCAGGTGCAGTTGCTCATTGTGCCTGCCGGAAAGACCGAGAGCGTGTGCGGCGGGCAGGCCTGGCACGGCCCGCGCGGCGAGTCGTTCCACTCGCTCGAGCTGCACGCTGCGCACGGCCCGTACGGCGTCTCGGCGTACATCCCGCGGTCGCAGTCGGCAAGGAGCGCGAGCGAAAACGGCGCGCCGGCAATGGGCACCCCATTAATCACAATGTTGAGCGTGTAGAAGCCCGGATCCGCCGCGTTGTACGTGCACTTGGAGAGCCCGAGCCCTATCGCGCCGCACTCGACAGGTGTCGACGCACTCTCAGAGACCATGGTGGCCCGGACAGAGCTGCCGGGCGAGACCGTGATAACATTGCCGAACAAGTCGCGCGAGGTGACAACCACCTCCATCATCTGCCCCACAATCGGGCTCTCGATGCCTGCGCCGGACGCCGTCGACTCGCCAGGCGACACCGCCGACGACCCGATGTTGAGCTCGTGCGGGTTGCCGACCCCGAGGAGCGGAATCCCGTTGCGGGTGATGGCCACAGACTGCATGCCCGGATTGGTAAAGGTGGCCGAGACGTGAAAGACGCCCAGTGATGGCGAGGCGACAGACACCGCATACGCTGTCGGGCCAGTGTACGGGCCGAGCGTCGGGTAGACGCCGATGACATCGTCGCCGCGCGCCAGTGGGCGTCCGGCGCTGTCAAACGTCTCTAGCGTAAACGTCCACGACTCACCAACCTCCAGCGAGATCGGCGAAACCGCCGTCGTCGTCGTCTGGCCTGGATCGACCGTCGACGTCACCACCCGTGTCCGCGTCATCAGTGTCCCGCACGTCTCCGACGCCACCGTCAGCTCGATGTCGCAGTATCCATCGCTGGTGAGCGGAAGCGCCGTCAAGTTCCACCCGCTCGCCGTCAGCCCGTCGCATCCGGCCGTCCCACTCGCCCGCCACGTGACCGGGAGTGAGAGGCCCGGCGCCGGGAAAAGCGCCAGCGACGGTGGGATCGGCGAGTTGACAATCGCGGCTCGCTCGCCGGCCGATCCGCCGGGCTCGGAGAGGCCCGACGGCACGAGGACAAGCGGCGGCGAGGTCCGCGCGATGTGCACAAACTCGTGGAGCCGGATCGTCCCGGCCCCGATGGTGTACCGCCCGATCTCGCCGTAGGCAACTGCGGCAAAGGTGGCGTTCTCCGAGAAGATGGTTACAGCGTCACTCGCCGGCCACTCCCACGCAAGACTATCGCCCTTGCTCACCTCCACCAGCGAGTTGGTGCAGTACGCGCTCGCCGAGGCCGAGAACGCCGGCTCATAGCTGAAGACATACGACGTCGGTGGAACACGAGTGACCGGCTCCACGCCCGCGATCTCCGCCGCAAACCCGTCCGTCCCATTTCCGCCCTCGCCGCCGTTCCCGCCGCGGTAGCCGACAAGCCCGCCGTGACCGACGGATCGGTTGGTCGAGCCGCGCGAGCCAGGCGTCCCCGGATCGCCGCCATCTCCGCCGGCGCTTCCGCGCGAGCCTGTGCCGGGCGCCCCGAGCTCGATGGCCACATCAATAAGCTCTGCCCCACCGGTGATGTCAAAGACAGAGAGCGCAGTCACTACGCCGCCAGAGTGTCCCGGATGCCCGCCGAGCCCACCCTCTCCACCACCTGCACCGCCGCCGCCGGTTCCTAGCGTTCCTGTGTCGGCCCAAGAGTTGACCTGCGCACCGGCTCCGCCGCCGCCGCCGCTCCCACCGGCACCGTCGCCGCCCCTGCCCGCCGAGAGCACACGATGAATGCCATTAAGAAAGACGATCGGTGGTGCGTTGCTTCCGGGGGATCCGTCCACGCCGGGCGCGTCAATGGCTCCGCCTCCGCCAGCACCTGGTCCGCTCCAGTACCCGCCGGCCACCCCATTACAGTCGCATCCGCAGCCGCCGCCGCCTCCGCCGCCTCCGCCTGCACGCCAACTTCCAGCCGCACCGCCGTCGTCGCCAGCCACGCCACATCCGCCACCTAAGCCACCTGTGCCGGCTGCGGTGGCACCGCCACCGCTACCCCCGTTTCCACCACCCGAGCTTTGCCAGCCAGTCCCGGTCGGCCCACCCTGCAACCCATCGCCGCCACGCTCGCCCTGCGGCGGCTGTGGTTGCGTCACGCCATCGCCTCCCTTTCCGGGTGCCAACACGACGCGGACAAGCTCAACTGACTCGCAAAAGCGGGCGAGGAGGGCGTAGGTCGAGATGCCACTCTCGTCGATCAGCACCGGTGCGTCGACGGTCGAGACCTTGACATCCGCCAGACGAAAGTACGGCAGGCCAAGCGCCTCGATGGCGACCAAGATGTTGACACCCTCGATCTTGATCGAGGGCAAAACCCGTTGGAGGTGGGAGATGGCCTTGTTGGACTTTTCCCACATCCCACTTCCGCCAGCTTGCACGAATCCGCCTTCGATGGCTGTCCAGGGAGGCATTTCGATGGGAAAGTCGAGCAAATAGAGACCAACTGCAAGACGGATGGTAACCACATTACTCTCTCTGCCACACTGCCTCGCTACCACAAGTGCCGTCGAGAGAGAGAGCGGAGTCTGATGGGTATCAATTTTTTGTCCCGCATCCACTTGGCCACCTTCTGCCACTGCGTAAACCACCGAACCACGACCCGCAAGCTCTTCACAGTCACCGCTACCAGCATACACCTCGACCACCACCACCGCCACGAGTGAGCAGACCAGAACAACCACTCTTGCCCATACTCCCATCTTGACCTCTTCTCCCCTTCCCCCCTCGTCGTTTCCGTGACGAAGAGTGGTGCTCCCCGACTCTCTTCCAGCCCCCCCCTTCCCCCTTCCCTGCCTCTTGCCATACACCCATGCTTCTCTGCCAACGACTGTACTCGTTCCGTTTTGCCTCTTTGACGTCCGTTTTTTTTCTCACTCCAGAAAAACGGGTTGCTCATACAACAAAAATTTCTCTCCCGGCAATGTCACGGTGGCTGCCACTCAAACCCTCTTCCGAACTCGTTTTAGGCCTTTTACGGTACGGAATGGAGAGTTGCGTCCATCGCACAAGCCGCGCTCTGCGACGCTTCACAGACGTCGCAACATCCATCAATCGCGGTAAAACAGTAGTACAATGTGTTAATGGTTGCTGTGGCCACTGGTGGGCCACAACAGCCTCGGACGATGAGGGCGCGGCCGGACGGGGCGACGTCGGCCGTGGCCAGCGGAGGGTGCGTTTGAGGGCCTCGTACCGGTGGAGCGACATGAGCGGCGTCTGCACGTAGATCAAGTACTTTGTCCTCAACTTTAAGTAGATGTAGCGGTGCACGCCGTAGTTGGAGATCAAGCAGGAGAGCCCGGGGCTCCAGATGTGCGAGGCCAAAGTTGAGTCGCTGGTCTCCGCCTCGCGCACTCGCGCACACTCGGCGCACACTCCACCACACACATACACACACAATCACACACTCGGGCATGTCTCAGGGCGGCATCTCTGTGTATCAACGTGCGTCGGTGGTCGTAGACGGCGTTGCGTCGTCGCACGTTGCGCTCATCGCCGGCGAGTGGAAGGCCGTCGTCGGCGCCGACGCCACGGTGGCCTTTCCCACGGGCGCCGGCTCCGAGTCGGTCGGCGCGCTCGTTGCTGGTCTCTCATCGGCGCTCGAGGACCTCGATTTAAAGCTTGAGAGGCTCAACACGCTCTCCCACCCGGCCGCTGTGTTCAACTCTGTCGTGCTCAACTTCCCGGTCGGCGGGGGCTCGTCAACGACAAGCTCCGCCGTCCGCACCCACCGCTCCTCCGGATCGGTGCCGTGCGGCACCTCGCACGCCTCGCCCATGCTCCCAGACGTCCGTCACCGCGACGGCAACTCGGGCATCCTTCAGGCGGGCGTCTACCTGTCGGCCGCCATCACGTTCAGCCGCGCCTCCCACCTCAAGCCGCAGGCCAAGCATGCGTAAGGGTCAGCTATCAAGCCGCGCTCTCGGTCGCGGTACAAGCGCCGCCATGGCCTCGAGCCTCGCTGTCAGCCGTGCGTAGTCGCTGCGGAGCGCAGCCACGTCGGCTTCGGCCATCGCTAGCCGGTCTTGCGTCGCACGTAGCTCCGCTTGCGTCGCTGTCAACTCGCTCGCCTTGGCCGCCAGCGCCTCCTCAAGCGCCTCTACACGATCACCGTTCCCGTTCCTCAAGCTGACGTCGTGCCCGAGCACCTGACGCATGTGCGCCACAAACGGGGCCGGCAGCTCCGTTGCTCCGGTCAGCAGTGCGGTGAGCTCGTGCGAGGTCGCAAGTGCGTAAGCTCCCTCGCCTGCCGCGTTCATCGCCCATAGCTCGGCGCCGGCCGCCAGGAGCGCCATCACCGTCGCCATCTGCCCTCCGCTCGCCGCAATGTGTAGCGGCCGCTGCCCGAGCACAGGCTCGAGCGCGTTGACGTTCGCCCCGGCTCGGATCAGCTCTCCCAGGTGCGCCGCAGAAAACCGCACCTCGCTCCCCGCCCGGAGCGAGACAAACAGTGCAAGCGTCGCCCGGTTGATCCCGCCCGCTACGTCCGCCGCCCCATCGCCATGCGTCGCCAGCCACACGCGCATTGCTTGGACCACAGCTGGCGCCACAGAGCCCGGTGCCAGGGTATAGCTGTGCCGCCCGTCAGCCTCGACCTCAAACGGATCAAAGCCGCGGACCACAAGCGCGTCAACAAGCTCCTGCGACGACGACTTGCCCAGCCCGTCCGCTGCCCGCACAGGCGCGAGGATGTCCATCCCTGCCGCCCGCGCAAGACCCAGCGCCGTCGCCGGTAGCGCGCCCACTCGCCCGAGATGATGCACAAGGTGTGGCGCTCCCTTGGAGCATGCCAGCACCATCGCCACGCTCTCTTGCGTCAGCGCCGGCGCGCTCCCTTGGCCCGCCCGCGCAACCTCGAGCGTCACCAGCGCATCCAGCCCCACACACCCCTCCAGACCCAGCACCTCCATCTGGGGACAGAGGCCCACCACCGCAGCCACCGCCGCATCGCTCACCTTGACGCACCCGTTCAGCTCGAGGTGCGCAAGGCCCGCAGCGCCCGCAGCGAGCGCAGCAACCCCGGCGTCGCCCACATCGCACCCGCTCACGTCCACCTCCACCAGCTCGCTACAGCTGCTGGCAAGCGCCACCAGCCCGGCGTCGCTCACACCCTTGGCCCGCGCCAGCTTGACCCTCATCAGCCTCGGGCAACCAGCGGCGAGCGCTGAGAGCGCTCGGTCGGTCACCAGGCTCGTCTGCGACAGATCGATGTACGCCAAGAGCGGACATGCCCGAGCAATGGCAATGATCGAGTCGTCGCTCACGCAGCTACCCTTCAAATCAATGGACTGCAGCTCATCCCCGTACCCATCCACCACGTCCACCACATCGTCATCCACCCCTGCATGCGCCACAAACGTTACAGAGCTCACCACTGCTGCCCCCTGCATCGCTCGTCCTCGCTCCAGCACCGTCCGCGGATCAAAGCCAAGTCCTCCTCCACCACGCCCGCCGCCATCGTCATCAAAGCCTCCCAAGCCACGAACTCGTTCCCGTCCACCAGCCCATACGCCCAGATCAACGTGCGCTCCGCCTGCGTCCATAATCAAGGCAGCCGTGGTTGGGGAAATAAAAAAAATAGATTCCACGCAAGCAACGAGAGTGCGAAAGTAAGAGAGAGGGAGGAGAGAGGTACCACAACCGGGAGCTAGTTGAGAGGTGCCTTGCTGGCCGGTGCGAGTCGTGTGTGTGTGTGTGTGTGTGAGTGTGTGTGGGACGGGGCTGAGCGCACTTTGCTGCCTCACTCGCTTCGCGCTCATATTGACACGCGCCACGGGCCAATGTTCTTGGCTGCCTCATATTGGTGCACCGCCGTTGACTGTCGTCATGTGGTCATCAACTGGTCATCAACTGGTCATCAACTGGTCACCGCCAACCTCCCCCCTCCCCCCTCCCATCGCCCCAACCACCGCCACCACTGCCACAAACCGCATCAACCCCATTCCTCCCACCACATCTCACATCTCCCAACCCACCTCCCCACCCCCCCTACCCCTCCCCACCCCACCACCACACCGCACCACCGCACCAAAAAATATTTTTCAACTTTCACTTACCTACACGTACCCCCCTCCTCACCCGCTCCCCCCCCCTCCCCCCCCCTCCCCCCCCCCCACCGCACCCCCACCTCCCACACACACAACACCCCTCTTCATGATTCATGACCACCCTCCACTTACCGCCCGAGTGGCGGAGTGACCAAGTCGAAGAGGCACTCGCACATGCCACCCGCCTCACCGCCATCAGCCTCGAAACGATCGACGGCGGCCGAGCCGCACTTCCGCTCCTCCCAGCATCAGGCCTCGCTACCCTTCTGGACTCGGCCGATCTCTCTGCGCTCACCTCGTTGCATCTGGCTCGCTACCGATCGCTTCATCGCGCTTCGCTGGCAGCTATATTGGCCAACCTTCCCGCCCTTACAGACCTTAGTCTCTCGGCGGCCACAGGCCTCGTCGCTGGCGATCTGGCCGCTCTCGCCACCTCCCGTTGCCTCCCGTCCAAGCTGAGCTCGCTGTCGTTGGCAGAGACCGACCTCGCATCGGGCAACGATGTGGCGGCGCTTCTGATCCATGCTCCGCAGCTGACTGCCTTGGATCTCGCCGCCTCCAACGCCGACGACGACGCGCTAAGATCCATCGCCGCTGCCGCACCCCACAACCTCGCCACCCTCGTCCTCGACCACACCGCAGTCACCGATCGTGGCCTTGACCTGCTCCTCGCATCTTCAGACGATCTCGCGACCCTCACGTCCATCTCTGTCTCTGGCTGCGTCCGCCTCTCGCTTGCCCTCGTCGCCCACATCGCTCCGGTCACTGTCGCTCGCGCCGCCAACGAGCTCGTTCCGCCCTTCCTCCCTGCCCTTGGCGACGATCTCACCGCCGCAACATCCTCTCAGCGCACACGCGCGCTCTCGGCGCTTGCATCGGTCTCGGCCATTCTCGCAGATATGACTACAGCTGTAGGCAACCTTGCTGCCGCTCTTGCTGCCCCGCTCCCGTCCGCAGATATCGACGCCGCCGCCGCCGCCCATCCGGACCTCTGCGCCTACTTTGCCGCCGCCGCACGGGCCACCCCGCTTGGTGTCGCCGCCGACAACGCCGCGCGTTCTGCATCGCAAGCCTCTCGTGAATTTGACGCCTCTGCCGCTGTACTCGCCTCCCGCATGGCCTCGGCTGACCTCTCCGATCACACCGCGGTCCGCGACGCGCTCAACGCGCTCAACGCATCTGACGGCGCGAACCTCGCCACCGCGCGCAGCTCTGCCCTCGCTCTTGCCGCATCAACCTCGGCAGATGCGCTTGTCACCGCCGATGCCGAGCTCAGCGCTCTTACCGCCGCTCACCACGCCGCTTCCCGACTGGACTTTCCCCGCATCGTCCGGCGCATCGCGCCTTCCTCAAAGCCCACGACGAGTGCCTCGCCGCCGTACACGACGAGAGCCTCCTCCGCCCGGTCGCCGCCACCCTCGACGCACTCGATGCCGCCCGCGCTGCACTCGATGATGCCACATCTGCCGCTGCCGCCAGTCACACCGGGCTCGCCCGCCTCGCTACAGCCGCATCCGCCGTCTTGCACTCGCCCTCGCCCCACCCTCCGATCGCCGACTACGCACTCCGCGCCGCCGCTCGCGACGATGTCGCCGCCAGCCATCGCCACTGCGCTGCCCTGATCAAGCTCGAGACCGAGCTGCTCGCCGCAAGCACCTCCGCAACTAGCCTACAGCGTGAGCAGTGGGAGCTTGAGGACGTCATTGACGAGGCCTCGGCTGCCATCGCCGCTCTTGGCAAGAAAGCCCGTCGCTCGGGCAAGCCCATCCCGCCCGCCGCTCTCGTCGCCCCCACTGCCCGCCTCGATGACGCTGCCGCCCGACTCGAAGAAATCAATCAGCACCTGGCTCACTCTCGAGCCGTGCTCGCCGCGCCCGACGCCGCCGCGCTCTTCCCGGACCTCGTCGCCCGCTCTGCCCAGCCATCGTTCCTCTGCCAGCTCCTCGCCACCACATCGGTCGTCGCCGCCGGCGCGCTGTCTGACTACGAGCCCGAGCCGATTGAGGTGCTCCTCTGCCAGGGCGATGCTCAGACAATCAAGTACGAGGTCAAGGTTATGGCTCGAGCTGGAGCCAGCCACGATCTCATCGTACTCAAGTCGGTCTCGCTCGCATCGTCGCACCTCCGTGATGACCTCCTCGCCCGCCTCCGTGCCGAGGCCACCACCACCGCAGCCTTTGACCACCCGCACATTGTCCGCATCAACAGAGTCTTTGAAGCCGCCTCCTCCATCCATATCGAGATGCCGTACTATCCAGGCGGTAACCTCGCTCGATGGCTGGCCCATCGCCCGCCCGGCCCGCCGGGCCTCCCGCTGCTTCGCATCTTCCGGCAGATCGCCTCGGCGCTGACCGCCGCCCACGCCGCAGGCATTGTCCATCGTGACGTCAAGCCGGCCAACGTCTTTGTCGCCGATCCGAACGCACCTCACGTCGTCCTTGGGGACTTTGGCATCGCCAAAGCCGTCGATGCCACCACCACTACCGTCTCATCGGCTTCGACTGCCTCGGCCTCCTCGCTGGCCTTTGGCACCGCCCACTACGCCGCGCCCGAGGCCACTTCGTCCACCTGGGCCCATCTCACACATCGCTTTGCCGTCGACGTTTACTCGCTTGGCATCATCATGCTCGAGACCATCAGCGGCAAGCAGCTCTCCCTCGCATCGCGCCCCGCATCGGCCGCCGCCGCCGTCGCAGCACTCGGTCCCGCCGTCGCCGACGCGCCGCTCATGGCCCAGCTCGCCCCCACCGTCGCCGCCATGCTCGACACCAATCCCGCCGCCCGCCCGCCCATCACAGCCGTCCTCGCCCTCCTCGATGAGCTCATCCCACAGGCTCAGGCCCTCGCCTCGCTCCGCACCCGCACATCCTCTCGCCTCCATGCCCTCCACAGCCTCCGCCGCAACATCCATCACGCCCGCGCAGCCATCGGTCTTGCCCCGGTCGTCTGGCCCGTTCCTGACCCGGCTGTACACTCGGCCACTCTCTTCAGCTTCCTTTCCGCCGCTCCCGCTTCGCTCCTCGCCGCCCGCGTCCAGGCTGTCCATCTTACCACACTCGATGAGACCGCCGCTACCCTTGCCGCCGCCATCGTCGCCCATCCCACGGCCCACGGCCTCGTCACAAGCGCTGATGGTGGCTTGCTCCCACAAGATCCCGACTCGGCACACGGCCTCGGCGTCTTCATCGGCAAGTGCCTCCTCGAGGGCGTCCACCTCCCCATCCCGCTCGCCCCGTGCGTCTACTATGCCCTCCTCGCCGATCCGACCCCAGACTCGCCCTCTGTACTGGATGCGCTCCACACCGGCTTTCTCGCCGGCATCGGGCCCGATCTCCACCCGCTCGTCGCTCTTCTTGCCCCCGACGACCTCCGCCTCACCATCCTGGCTCCGGTGTCTGTTGACCGTCCTCGTCTCCTTGCCGCGCTCTCATGGGAGCCTCCGTCCGCCGCTGACGATCCGGCCGCCGCCGCCGCCGCTCGCCGCTCCTTCATCGCCCTCGTCACAGACCTCGATGAGCTCTCCCTGCATCTCTTGGTTGTCCGCGTCTTTGGCGTCGCCGCCCTCGAGTCCCGCGCCTTTCCGCAGGCCATCGTCAGCTTTGGGGCGGTGCCGTCCGCTTTGATCGCGGCCGTGTCGTCGTCCCACACCTCCTCACCGAGCCCGCGCTCTTTTCCGCCACCGTCCTCGCCGCACTCGGCCTCGAGGCGCCTATGTCTGAGTGCAGCGCCTGCGGCGAAGCCTTTCGCGCCGACGAGGGCATCTCGTGCGCCGCGAGTGATCCTACCCGCGCCCACTTTGTATGCAACGCCTGCTTCGCCGCCTTTGTCGCCGCCTCGCTCACTTTTGACAACATCGGCAACTTCCGCGACGCCGGATCGCTCATCGCCTGTCCCGAGAAGCCTGCCGGCTGCGCCTCGCCGCCGTTCTCCCTCAACGATGTCTCACGCCACGCGCCGGCCCACTTTCCCGCCCTTCTCGCTCTCCGCGATGAGCTGTTCCAGGGCCAGCTCGAGGGCGAGCTGGAGGAGCGCATGCGCCGCGAGATCAAGCTTGCCCTCGCCCAGAACGCCTTTGAGCGCGACGTCCACAACATCGTCGGCCACGTCCATGAGGCCATTCTCACCCTCCGCTGCCCGCGATGCGCTGCGGCCTTCTTTGACTTTACCGGCTGCGCAGCCCTTGTCTGCACCCAGTGCAACGCCGCCTTCTGCGCCCTCTGCCTGGCAGACTGCGGCGACGATGCCCACACTCACGTCCTCCATTGCTCCCTCAATCCGTCCGAGGATTACTACGTCTCTAACGACACGTATCAGGACATACAGCGCGCCCGTCGCCAGCTCGCCCTCCGCCAGTACCTCGCCTCCTTGGACGCTGATCTGGCCGCAGCCGTCACCGCACGCTGTGCCCAGGACTGTGCCGACCTCGGCATCGTCATCGCCTAGTTGTTATCAAAGCCTACACCTACACCAGACTCTCCATCTCGACATCCACTGCTGTGCCATCCACAAACCCACGCAGTGCCGCCGCCGCCTCGGCAGGCAGATCCGGGAGCTCGCGCACGAGGTACGCCGCCACCTGCGCCTGTCGCTCGGCCTCGGCAGAGTACCCGCCGCTGCGGCGCGCGCTGGCAATCTGCCGCACATCGCCCACCACGCCCAACCCCCCGACCACCACAAGCACCACCAGCGCAAGAACAAGCCCCACAAACATGACCTCCGAGTCCGAGTTGTGCCGCTCCGCGTACGATCCTGAGCCCAGAAGGACAACGCAGACAAGAACGAGATTGAGCCGGAACTCGAGCTTGTTGTACAACGGAAAGTAGTACGGCTGGTGCGCACGGACCGCCACAGCAGCTGTGAGTAGCACCACAAGCAGGAGCGCAATCTGCGCCAGCTGGTACTCGGTGAGGAACACACCCGCAAGCACAATCGCCAGCCGCTTACCGAGCTCGGCCACCCCGGTCCAGTAGTACGGCAACCGGTACAGCCGGTACAGCGCCCCGTATCGCGCGAGTGTCTCCGTCACAAGCAAGTTCTGTCGCTGCCGGGCGAGTGCAGCCACAAAGTAGCCTGGCACGCCGAACACGTAAACGCACACAAACACCATCCCAAAAGGCGCCACCTGCCACCACCGCCCGTCAAAGCACGCCACTCCGGGATCGCTGTCCACCACCCACTCGCCATCGGGCAGCTGCGCGCAGTCGAAGATCACAAGCGCCGCCCGCGCCACGGGGATGTAGAGCAACGGCGCAAACGAAAACAGCACGCCGTCGACCATCGCGCCGACGCCGAGCGTCGCCAGCTGAGCCCGCCAAATCGCTACCCGCCCGATCGCAAGCCCCAGCAGCGCCATTCCCAGCGCAAGGAGCGGGACGCAAACAGACGCCACGTACTTGGCGTGGAACGACGTCAGTGCGCACTCGCTGGCAAACACGTTGGCGTCCACGTTGAAAATCGTAAACCACGAGAGCACTGCCCGCGACCTCGCCGTCCATCCAAGCTGCGCCTCGCCGAGGAGCGCAAGCACCTGCAGTGCCACAAGAACCATCGACGCAGACGGCGGCACAAGCCGCTGTCGCAGCACGTTCTCCTTGCCCGTCGTCAGCCGCCGCTTGATCATCAGCCCAACTCCCAGCCCGGCCATCAGCCCGGCCACCACCGCCGCAGTCACCGCTCCGGCCATAAGGCCCACAGACACACCAGGGCACTTGCGGCATCGCAGCGAGCTGTCCGAGTAGAACCCATCCACACATTCGTTGCACATAAACCCCGTGTGGCCGCGCGTGCACCTGCTTGCTCCCGCGCACGCCTCGGGCCGCCGACATCGCGCAAACCCTGTCGCGTTGCCCACAGCAAAGAATCCCGGTGCCGCCACGGGCGGACCTCGCCCGAGCGCACACACTGCGCCCTCGGGACATGGCCCACACGCCACAAGGTAGCTCTCCCCAAGCGCACTGCTCGAGGGATCCATCGTGAACCCGGCTCCGCACACGCAGTACGGGAAGAAAGAGCCGGGCGTCGCCGCGTCCACAGAGTTCGCTCCGCATGGCACAAGATCGCGGCACGCTGCAAACGACCGCTCGGCAGAGTACTCGTTCGCTGCGCATGCCTCGCACGTCAGCGCATCCTCCACGCCCGCCGCACTCCCGCCACCCCATCCGTCGCCGCAAGCCACAACTTGTGATGTCCCCGTCGCGCTCCTCACCCGCGCTCCGCTGCCTCCGCTCGCCTGAACCACCGCGTACGTCCACTCTACTCCGCGCAGCGTCGCCTCACTCCCGGCCTGCACAAACAGCGGCACTCCGCGGACAATCGCCGGGTGGCTCGCCAAGTTGGTGTTCTCCGCATCGCCGCCGAGCACCAATCCGTCACCCGCAAACTCGGCAGTCACTGCTACGTTGACGTACGTCACGTTGCGTCCAGCCCCGTCGCGGCCCACAATCTCGGCTGTCAGCGACTGCCCGGCCATCACCTCGGCCGCTGGCGCCGCAGACACCAAAAGCTCAACGACCGGTCCGTCAACAGCCACCGCACCGCTGGCATCGCTTGCCACTGTCACCCATGCCTCACGTCCACAGCTAAAGCCCGTCGATGACGATCCCAGCCTGCCGCCACGCCCGGCCTTGTTGCCGCTTGCCACCGTCCTCGCCCCGCTCACAGTAACTCGTCCGCCGCACGCGCCCAGCCCGCCGCCGTAGCTGCTGGCCTGGTTCCGCACCAGCGTCACATCGGTCATCGCCACCACAACCTCTGCGCCCCCCGCCCCATCTAGCGTCGGAAAGTCAACCACGGTGCCGGCGCTGATCCCGACCCCGGCGGTCGCCGCAAGCACCGCAAGCCCGCCACCAAACTGCGCTGAATTGTCCTCGATCGCGCAACTAGCCAGCGACACGCTCCCAGCGCTACTGGCAAACACTCCACCACCGGCTCCGCGCTCCGCCCTGTTCTTCTGAAACAACACTTGCTCGCCCGTCATCGTCGCCGTTTCGCCGACATACACCCCGCCGCCCGAGTCAAAACTCGCCGTGCACCCAACAATCGCACTCTGCCGCACCGTCACCAGCGCCCCCGCTTCGGCCGCCAGCCCTCCGCCGCGCCTCGCGCTGCAAAGAGTGATCTCGGTCTGCTCGAGGACCACACTGGCTCCGCCGCCGCGCGCCACGATCGCTCCGCCGGTCACCGCCGCGCTGCACCCGCGGAACGCCGAGTCACTTGCAGTTAGCGTGCCACCGTTCAGTACCGCCACCGCACCGCCAACGCCGAGATCCAGCGTCGTCGTCCCGACCACCGGCTCGACCACGCTGGCGTTAGCTACTGTCACGTTGGCAAGCGCCAATATCCCGTCCGCGTCAACACGTAGGCCCGGTGCGCCAAACAGGACGCCCCTCGCCACACCCAACCCGTTGACATCCACCGAGTCAAGCGTTAGCTGCCCACCAGAGTCCACGACAAACAGCACTCCGCCATCGCACTCAAACCTCGCCCGTGGCCCGACCGAGCCCTCACCCCAACCATCCGCACCTCGTGCGAGATTTCGGCGTGCGCATCCACTCGGCATCCGTACTCGACCCCTGCTTCGAGCTCGATCGTTGCAGCTACGCACCGCGACGACCGCTCAACCACACTCCACAGACACGCAAACGTGTTCCGCATCGCTTCACCGCCGCACTCGCTCGCCGTGGTGCTCATGCGATGCACCGTACCCTCGTAAGTCGCAAAGGCTGTTCGCGTCAGCGCTGCCAGCCACACAACCTGGTCAGCACCCTCTGAAGTGAACAAGATGTCGAGGTCACCATCACCGTCCACATCGCTCATGAGGATGCGGTTGACCTCGGACGCATCCGCCACAAGATCGGCTCCAGAGAACAGCCCCAGTCCGTCCAAGTTGTGGAAAAGCATGACTTTGACACTGTCAGACACAACAAGGTCCAGGTCACCGTCACCATCTGCATCGCTCGCTTCAACCGCCATCGGCCCAAAGCCAGTAGTCAAGTTGGTGGCCACCACAACTGGCTCTTGAAATGCCGTCGCGTTCACAGCCGCCGCCCACGAGACCATACCAGAGCCGCGGGCGGTAAATGCCACGTCGCGCAGGCCGTCGCCATTCAAGTCGCCACTCGCAACGCCAAACAGCTCATCGGTTGCCTCGCCCCCGCGCTCGACCACAGTCCGTGGGGTGGAAAAGCCCCCAGTGCCGTTGCCCGCAGCCACGAGAACTTCTCCCAGTTGAAGAACCATTACCACATCGAGCGCCCCGTCGCCGTCCATGTCGGTCACCTCAAATACCTGGAACGCTTCGCCGCTGTGCGACGCAACTACGCGTGCTTGCTCAAAGCCTTGCGCATTGTCCCGACGCATGAGTACAATCGCTTCAAAGGCCGAGCAAAGCACGTCGAGCTGCCCATCGCCATCCACGTCAGCGAGCTGGACGTCGTGCAGCAAATCTAGCGAGGTGACAATTGGCGAAGAGTCGCCGAGCACAAAGGTGCCAATGCCATCACTGTTGGCGTACCACACCAGCTCTTTGGCGCCCTGAAGGGCGATCACAACATCGGCATCACCGTCAAGGTCAACATCACCAAGCGCAGCCGCAACAGGCTTGTTGAGCCCGGTGTCGATAGCGTTGAGCGAGGTAAAGCCGCTACCCTCGACAGAGGCAAACCAGCCGACGGTGCCAACTGACGAAAAGGTAGCCACGACGTCGACCCATGCGTCGCCGTTGACGTCGCCGGTTGCCAAGCCGTTCGGGTCCGAGTTGGGCGATGAAAACAGAACGTTGGGCTCCGAGTAGCCTGCCAATGCACTCTGTACCAATCCCTGGCCCGGCGCTGTGGCGTACCACACCAGCCGTGCGTGCGCGGTTGTCGCCACAACCGTATCGAGTCTCCCATCGCCGTTAATGTCGGCTAGTGCCAGCGCCTTGACCTCTGTCGACTCGCTGTCGACCACACTGACCGCATCAAAGCGCCCGCGTCCGCGCCCGGCCATCCACAACAGCCGCTCTTCAACGGTGTCCGACGCAATGATGTCGATCCACCCGTCGCCGTTCATGTCGGCCACTCCGAGGCCATAGATACCCTTTGTGCCACTGATTAGCACCATCCCTTCTGCAAAGCCACCAGTGCCGTCGCTGTTGATGTAGAGCACAACCGCGTTCCTTGTTGCCGCGCCCACAATGAGGTCCATCGCACCATCGCCGTCGGCATCAGCCAGCGCCGCAGTCTTCACCTGCCCTGCGGCAGTATCGATGACCTGCGCCGCGCCAAAGCTAGTCCCGACTCCAGCGTACCAGACCAAGACCTCGCCGTTGGTACCGGCGACCACGTCACTCGTGCCGTCGCCGTTGATGTCACCGATGGTCACGCTTCGTGCCAGGAAGAGCGCCGCATCGACAAAAACCGATGGTTCGAACGTGCTGCCCCCTCCGGCGCTCTGCTCAATGTACAACACAGCGCCCAAGCCGATGTCTGCCACAATAACGTCCAGCCAGCCGTCGCCACTGTGGTCAACAAACCCAAGATTCGTCGGCGCACTCAGGCCAACCGCGATAGCCACTGGCGCCGAGAAGCTACCCGACCCGTCGTTGGCTACCCACGCGAGCTTGATGCCGGTGCTTGAAGCCCACGCAATGTCTGCGTCGCCGTCGTCGTCTACATCGGCCAATACAACGTGCTCCACATAGCCAGCATTGGCCACAACCACCTCTGCTGGGCCGAACCGACCGCGGCCGTCAAGGTTAAAGGCGACTCGGATCTCGCCGTTGCCGTCGCCGACCACCACGTCGGCATCGCCATCACCGTCCAAATCGTCCGCCGCCACCCCTCCCGGGTCGGTCGGCCACGCGCTCAGCTGAACTTTGCTGTCCCAGCCTCCACCGTTGGCGAAATACACAAAGAGCTCATCAATGTCACTGTGCGCTGAGACCACATCCAGCAGGCCGTCGCCGTTGAGGTCAACCACCGCAACATCATACGGCAATTCCAGGTCGGAGCCGACCACATGCTGCACCCATGGCGGCGAAGGTCCACCCAAGCGGTTCTCGTACACAACGACCAGATTGGCGGCCCGGAGGCTCACCACAACGTCGAGTGCCGACGAGCCAATGGCATCGGCAAGCGCAAGCCCATACGGCTCGCCCAGGCCCGAGTCGACGGCGACTGGAGTCGTAGGGCCAACTACTGACCCGATGTTCGCCACCCATGTCACCGAACCGCCGTCGTCGTTGGTCATCACCGCATCGAGAGCAGCGTCGCCGTCAATGTCGCCAAGCGCAACGGCCTTGACGTCGAGCTGTGCGCTAAAGGAAGCAAATTGCTCGAAAAATGCAGGCTCCCCGGCCTTGTAGAAAAGTTCAACCGTGTTCTCGCGGCCGTTGGCAGCAACAACAACCAGACCCTTGCCAGCCACATCGGCAACGACAATGTCCGAGAAGCCCCCATTCGGCCGGATGGCGATGTAGTGTGCCCTTGAGAAGAACGAGCCCTCACCGTCAACATTGGCCACCCAGAACAACATCGCCGGCATGCTCCAGGTGGCGACGATGATGTCGCTGTCGCCGTCGGCGTCCACATCAGCAATGGCCACGGCTTCGGGCGACCGGCCGATCTGACTCACTACAATGGGCGGATCAAAAAGGCCCCGAGGATCAACGTTGCGGTACCAAACAACCGAGTTTGGACCATGGAGAGGGTCCGGACCATCAATGAGGCCGGCGACAATGTCTGTATCGGCATCACCATCCACATCTGCGAGTGTGAAGAAATAGACATTGGGCGCAGCCGAGGTCGCCACTCTTGGCGGCTCCCAACCACCTCCAGGAGCTGCAATGCCCTTGTACCACACAATGAGCCCATACAACTCATCAGCCACCACCACATCATCCGTCGCATCGTCATCAATTCGTCCCACATCAATCGTCCGCAGCCGAGAATACTCGCCGTCAATTCTTTGCGCCTGCGCAGAAAGTTCGGCCACGCACGCCGGCCGCCCGTCTGCCACCACCACCACCGACACCGCCTCTCCCTCTCCCTCCACCAACCCGGCCAAGCCGACCAACACCATCCAGCCAACGCCCACCAGCAGAGCGAGGGAAGCAAGCGTGTGCTGCCGAGAGGGTGACAAACGCATGTAGGCTGCACGTGGAGTGATCTTGTACCGAGTCCGTCCGGCCGAGGCGAGAGAAGTGGTGCCTGGCTGAGCGGGAAAACTCCTGTTTGGGAAAGGGGGGGGGGGGGGGGGGGGGGGGCTAGGGCATGGTCGCATGATCACGGCCACGGTAACGGGCACGGACACGGGCGCGGACACAGCCCCGGCCACGGACACGGATACAGGTACAGGTACAGCCACGACCACGGGCTCTCGTGTCCTCCATTTACAGCGCCTGGCCATCACTTTCGACCGCATCGTGGTCATAACATGCGTTCATCAGCACCATCGGCACTAGGACGGGGGGGGGGGGGGGTAGGGTCTCACTCCGCGACGCCGACAAACTCGGACTCGTCCATACCCTCGAGGAGCGCGACTAGAGTGGCGGCGCCGACACGATCGTGCGGGTTCTGCAGCCAGCACGACTGGAGGACCCGAACGAGTCGCTGCGAGGAAAAGATGGAGAGATCGGGAGGGGTGTCGGACCGGATGGCGTGTGCCACTTCCAAGGCCGACGATCCCCAGAAGGCCTGTCTCCGGGTGACCAGCTCGTAGAGGATCGAGCCATAGGCAAAAATGTCCGACTCGGCAATCACAGGTACACCACGCAGGTCCTCGGGCGACATGTACGCCACCATCGGCGACATGGTCATGGTGGAGATGCCGGTCTTGAGCGAGGTCGAGTTGAGATCGGCAAGCGAGACGTGGCTTCCATCTTCGGCGTCGAGCATGACGTTGGTCGGTTTGACCGCCCCATGCACCCCACCCACGGCGTGGAGCGCGGCGAGCGCCTTGGCGAGCGAAATCGCAATGCTGCGAGTAAGCCGCGGATTGTTGTCATCGCTTATGATGACGTCAAGGACCGAGCCACGGACCTTGAGCGGATATACGACGCCGATGTACGGCCGGTGGATGCACATGGCGATGGGCCCCACAATGACGCCAGGATCGACTGTCTTGGCCACCTTGTACGTTTGCGCAATCCCGCACGCAAACCTGACCCGCGACACGACCGGCACATCCTGCTCGAGGATGAGCTTGATAAACACCTTGTCGTTTCCCCACGTAGAGATGATGGCCTTGCAAAACGAAGCCACGCCACCGACCACTCCACGCTGCACCGCCCCACGCATATCTGAGAGCGAGACAAAGAACTTGCCGCCAAGCTCGTGATAGGCGAGAAGACCGGCCCGTCGCACTGGGAGCCCGCTTTCTAATTGCCGGGGTCTCCGCTTTCGTGACAGCTGTAGCACCGTTGAGCCGCTTCGGGTCATCGACGGCGGGGTAGCCAACACCTTGCCGCCATCAACGACGCCGTCGTCTGAATCGCTGCTTGGCGAGGTCTCGACCGTCTCGGCTTGTGTGTTCGACACTTGGGCCATCGACGAGCTTGGCCCATCCTCAACAGCGCTCCGGATGCTCTCGCCGGCCGGCACCTCAGACTCGCGAAGCAGCTGACCGACGCCGGCAAAGACGTTGGGAGCAACTGCAACGAAAGGCTGCTTGCTCTTGGTCTCGGCGTGTATGTAACCGGTCAAGTCGGGCACGAGTGAGCTGTGGATGTAGATGCCCGGCGGCGCGTCGTCACTGATCATGTAAACCATCTCCTCGAGCGCTAGCGGGCCTGCACCGCCGAAAACCCGCAGCGAGCCCTCGTCCGAACCCGTGAACACCGCACCCTGGGTCTCGATCATACCGATGGTGGCAAAGGCGGTGATCTCGTCGCGACCGGCCATGGCGCCCAGGACCGAGTCGAGAAACATGACCAGCTGCGCTGGAACCTGACAGGCCACAAAGACCTCGTTGAGTGTTGACGAGGCCAGCAGCGTCGAGCTCAGCTTGGTTGCCATCGATACAGCCGAGTGGAAGGTGGTGAGGACTGACTGGGCACGTTTCGGTTCAGACAGGACAGTGTCTTCGTCGATGGACGACCTCAACCGCACCAGGACCATCCGCCCATTGGGCGCCTCGACGGTGGTCGGCATTACGATCCGCCGCGCTTCATAAGCACGCGAGAGCGCAGTGACCAGCTCACTAAACGACGGTCGCACCGTAACGTCGCCATCCCAGCACTTGACAATGTGAGGGACGAGCGACTTGGCCCACTCGGGCACAATCTCCAGTGAGGGCCGCAGGACGCCAACCGAGACCTCGATCGCTACCGTCACTGGGTTGCGGCCAAAGTACGGCTCGGTCCGGGTCACCATCTCCCACACAGTCACGCCGAACGAGTACACGTCCGACGCCTCGGACGTTGCGCTCGGCCCCTCGTTGAGAACCTCGGGTGCGGTCCAGAGGAGCGAGCCCAGGTTACCAGCCTCCTGCACCATCATCAGCGGCATCTGCAGGCCCGACTCCAGCGAGGCACCGGTTGACATACTGGTGCCAGGTCCGCTTGGATTGTTAGGGTCTCCAGTGGCAAGCAACGATAACAGCGGGCCCGAGCCGGTCGAGCTTGCGGCCACGGACGAACCACCTGAGCTCGTCCGCGTTCCGCGGAGCTTGCGCAACTGCTTGGCCCGCCGCCGTTGAACTCGCTTCGACACCTTGGCGCGCTGCTCGGTTGACTCGGACTTGACCGACGAGAGACCAAAGTCGGCGATCTTGGGCACCCATCCGGCGTCAAGGAGAACGTTGAGCGACTTGAGATCGCGGTGGACAATGCCGGCGTGGTGGAGAAAGTCCATGCCGAGTGCGATGCAGTGAGCCCACCACGTGACAAGGTTGACCTCGAGGTTGTAGTCATAGTTGTGGAGGACCGAGAACATGGATCCGTTGGGGACAAACTCTGTGACAAGGCCTGCCGGGTCGACCACAATGCCCATAAACAGTACAATGTGCGGATGTCGCAGTGCCATCAGCATTTGCGCCTCGGCCACAAAGTCGGCCAGCCGGTCCATGTCGTCCTTGCCCATCCCATGCATGTGCTTGACCGCCATAGGCGAGCCACGCCACGTCGCCAGATACACCGTTCCAAACGAGCCCGTCCCCAGGACCTTGCTCACCTTGAGCTCGTTGAGCGGAATGACGAGCTGCTCATCTACTTTGAGCTTGACGACCACGTCGCGCGCATGAATGCGGCACGCAGCAACACAACAAACAAGGCACGCACAGATCGTCAACGCCACCAGCGAGAGAATGACCGGGAGCAGCGAGGTCTGTGATGGGGGCGGAGTGCTTGCCGCACACTCGCCAAACACCACGCACCGGTCAATGAGCGGGACACCGTGGCAAGTGGCGGTTTGCAACTGCCTCACCGCAGCCTGTAACGTGACATTGACGACCGGCGTATAACTGGCAGCCTGCGCGAGATCGAACGCGTCGACCGAGGTCGCCAACCAGAAGTAGAGCTCTGCAGCAAGAGTGCGCTCGTTGCAGTGGGTGTCGTCAGCTTTGTCCTCTATGACAAAGTACGCAAAGCCGGCAAGTGGCCAGGCTCCGTGGGCCTCGAGGTCGGCCAGTGATCGCACAAACGGTTGCGCCGCCTCGTCTGGTACCTGGGCGACCGCAGCCAGCATGGTCTTCTTCATCGAGGTGCTCGAGGCGACGACAACAGATTCAGCAGCGTTGATCAGCTGCACGGTGACCAGGCCGCCGGCGTCAGCCACAGCCTGGGTGACAAAGCCAATTGCGCCGGGCGTTGCAGGCAGCCAGCGGGCCATGGCAGTCTCCGAGCTGGAGCGGTGCCAGCAGCCAGAGCCCCTGGCCTCGCCGGGCCAAAAGCCAGCCGGAACAAGATCGCTCGGCTCTGGTAGGACTGCCGCCCACTCGGACGAGAACGAAGCGAGCGCTTCGGTGAGGATTCGGGTCGAGCCCGAGGCCGTCGAGAGAAGCCCCACACAGACGGTTGTGTTAGGGAGCCACGGCGCGAGCTCGGGGTTAAGTGCCGCGATCTCAGGCGCATCCCAAACTGAGACACGCCCCATGAAAATCCGGGCCACAAGCGCGCGCGAGAGGGTAAGCCGCGGCAGACTCGGCGGGGCGCCGGGCTTGAGCTCCACGTTGTAGGGGAGGACGACTGGGGTAGCTACCATGGGGAGAACAAGCGCGTTTGGATGGGCCACGCGCTCGGTCTGTGAGAGACCGCGGTCCGCCACGGCGTAGACGTAATCTTCGGATCGCAGAGTCTCAAGGAGCGAGCTGCTGAAGTCGCTGTAGCGAATGTGGGTCCGATGGAGGGCGTTGAACAGCGCGAGTGCCTCTTCCACAACAGGGATGGCGACAGAGGCACCCGATCCGGCCGCAAAGAGGGAGTGTCGGACAAGCTGGGCGCTGTTGCAGCGGAGCACATTCACCTGATCGAGCGCATACGTTCGTTGCGCCGCTGGCAGCGCAACGTGACCGAGCCGCCACTGGTAATCGGCGACAAAGAGCGAGGAGATGATGTGGATGAAACCAAGGACCGTACTGCGGAGGGTAGCACACACGGCGGCATCAACCTCGTTGAGTGCGCTCGGAAGCATGACCCACTCGACGTAGGTGAGCGGCCAGCCAAACTCGGCGGCGGTGAGCAGCGGGCTGAGCGCATCGAGCCGGAGCGCGGAGGTCGCAGCGAGAACCGAGCCGTGAGAGAGGGAGACTGCGGCACGATCACCAAGCCCCTTCAGCCGCGGCACCTGCACGACTGACGCCCAATGCGGGTCGTACGCCTCGGAGGTAAGTACCGTAAAAGCATACAGCGTGTCAAGGACGGCAACACCGCTTTCGACGGCCGATGTCAGCGATTGCTTGCGAGTGTGGGGAGGTGAGAGCGGATGTGGTGCTGAGTTCTCACGCATCCTCACCAGCACCTCATTGAGTACATGGTCGACGACTGGTGACTCGTACCGGATGAGGACGACCGTGGCGTTTGGCATGTTCCGACCCGGGTTGAGGGCGGCGATGTCCGGGTGCGACCACTCGGAGATCTCACCGCGCCAGAGACGGACAACCAGCTCGGGGGTCAGCACTATCTCGCTTGTGTCGGTGCTCGGCAGGTGCGCGAGCGGTACAAGATACGACGTAGTGACCGGAACAGCCTTGATTGTCTCTGAGCAAGCCTTACCGGCGGCCACAGCCTCGGGCGGGCACAGATCGGTCAGCGCCGGTCCGGCCGTGTTGCCAATTTCTACCGCCAGACCCGCGCTGATCTGCTGACCGGCGTCCGTCGAGTGAGATGACGCTGTAACAAAGTCAGCAGTCGCCGTGTCATCGTCATCAACCTCGATGTCGAGTCTTGGGTCCAAGGCCATGAGCTTGCGGACGGCGAGACGATGGGTCGTGGGTGCCATAGCGACGGGCCAAATCGAGTCTGAGCTCTGGCGACGGCTGTTTGAGGAGGAATCTGAGCCAGTGTCGGCGACAGAGACTCGGATGGAGCGAGAGGCAAACGACACCAATCGCGACATGGACGACATACCGACGAGGACCGCGACATCATCACTACCGCTGCTCCTGCTTGGCTCCACAGAAGCGATGGCATCCGAGGCAGCGGGTGACGGGGTGGGGCAGTGGTCGACGGGCTGGCAGCGGCGGCAGCGGTCGCTGGCGTGGCTGTATCAGGAGCCATTGCGGCGATATCGGCAGACGACAAAGGTACAACAGCGGGCGGTGATGCAGCGGTGTCGGCAGGCGACGAAACGTCGGTGGCGGCGGAAGCAGCAGCAGCAGCAGCAGCAGCAGCAGCAGCAGCAGCAGGAGGAGCAGCAGGAGCAGGAGCAGCAGCAGCGGCAGCGGGAGAAGGGAGCTGGTGACCACGGTCACCTGTTCGGCCACCTTCCCACCTCTGTCCACGGGGGGTTGTTGAGGTGGTTGTTTGGAGGACAATGCACACGAGTGTGAGAACAACAACCATTGTCCGCATCTTGTGCGCACCTCCACTACCTCCTTCTTCCCCCTGGCTCCGGGTAAGTAACAAGTGGGGGGGAGCCCGGTGTCGGTGGCGGGATCGGGCAGACGGTCATCTGTCCCGCACTCGGCTTCATTAGCATCAATCAGACGCATTGAAAGACGTTGCGGTAGAAACGGCCAAAAAAAAAAATGTTTGCCTGTGGCCTCCTATATCCCCACATTCTGGCGGATGGGCAGGAGCGCCTGCAGATTAGGGAGCAAGGAACACGAGCTCGAGATCGTCGTGGCCGGCGAGCATGTCCAGGATATCATTGTTGTCGACAAAGCTGGTTTCAGATGGCGCACGACTCGGCGGGAAGCCGGAGGAGCAGGCAGCGCCAGTGGGCGCGGCGGACGTGGTGTCGACGGCAGCGGCTGTGCCAAACATGGCGGCGGTAGACGCATCTATTGTGCCGAGCGTGACCGAGGCATTCAGGGAACACGTCTCGATGGCGAGGCGTACAGCGGGGAGAGGCGAGAGCTCTGACGGTGAGACGGCGTAGAGTGGGTCAAGGGCAGCGTCGATGCGCTGGAGCGCCGAGAGCGAGTGGGCACAGACAGCGTTGATGGCTGTGACGCTGAGGAGGTAGTTGGCGAGCGCGACGCCGCGCGAGAGCGGCGAGCTCTCCATAATCCTGAGTGCCACCTCGAGAAAGCGAAACGATGTGTCGCCGTTGGTGTACGCCAAGTGGTCGACGATGCACAGGTAGTACGCGGCCATGAGCGCGGTAAAGCCGCCATAGCACAGCGCCTGGGCATTGTGAGGTGAATGAGCTTGGACGTCGGCGAGCATCATCTTGCTCATGTTGATCATGAGCGGCATGAGCTCGACAAGCCGCCGATGCCGCGCGCCGGGTAGCATCAGATTCCGCGAGAACTCGCCGACGTCGACGCTCTCGTCGACAGGCTCGGCACATGCGCCCGCGTCGGCGTACACCAGCGTACGTACCATCGTGTCGACAAAGGCATGCGAGAGCGGCGGGAGAAAGAGCGTCGCCTCGGCCGACGTCAGATACGCTTCGATGGCCTCGCCGGTCACACCGTACACCACCGTCCACCACGAGCGAGGCATTGGACTCCATACTTGGGTTGCCATGTGCTGCGTGCAGCCGCACGCCAGCCGTACGGCTTGTTCGTCGCCCAGCGCTGTCATCTGCAGCAGGGCCTTGGCATTCGGTGCCTCGTCGAGCACCGCAAAGGCACGCATCAGCGCCATATAGTCTGAGCCCGACTGCGACGCCCGCTTGATCACCTTGCCCTTCCGCGCCGCCAGCTCGATGACAATGTCCCAAGCCCGCGACATGTGCTCGTTGAACCGCTTCGGGTCGACACCAAAGTACAGGCCGGTAATCATAAAGTTGGTCGATGCCAGATTACGCGTGTACGGATCACGTGCGTACGTCACCGCCATGTGCGCAGACGACTTGGCCACCTGTGCCAGCTCCGGATTCGACGCCGCAAGCACATGTGCCGCCATCGCGTCCAGCTGGATCTTGAGCACGGGCGAGTCGAGGAGAGCTGATGGCTGTCGGCTCTGCAAACACGCCAGCGCCTCGAGCGACTGGCTCAGCTGCGCGCAGCCGAGCAAAGGATTGACGAACCGAAAGTATGCCTTGACAATGTCTGCTTGGTCCGTTGTCAGCATCACATACTGTGCAGGGTGTCTCAATGACAATGCCTGCTGTTTCTCGCCTTCTCTGCTCTCCAAAGCCCGTTGCCGCTTCATCGCCGGCCGCGGCGTTGTCACACCGGCCTTTGCCGCCGCTTCCTCTCCGCTAGCACTGCTGCTGTTGCTGCTGCTGGCTCCCTCGACCTCGTTCGATGGCCCAGGCACGCCCATACCCATCATTGCCGCCAAAGCAGCTGGCGATGGCGACGCCAACGAGCACCGTCCGCTCTGTACCTGTTGCACCGCCGCCATCACCGCACGGGCATCCAGCGCCGCCTCTGTCTGCAATGACGTGAGCTCGTGCGACGAGCTGCCAGTTCCAGTGGTAAAGCCCGACCTGTCTGTCTGGTCCCTATCAACCTCCGACCGAACAAGTGTGAGTGTGAGTGCAAGTGACGACCATGACAGCCACAGCAGCACATGGGGAACATACGCTCCCCTTCATCGCCACGGCATCAGTGCAGGCTAGGGGAAGGGGTAGTAGAAAAGGGCGGTAGACATGGCGCAGCGCAGAGATTGTGGTGGAGGGGAGAGAGAGAGAGAGAGAGAGAGAGAGAGAGAGAGAGAGAGAGAGAGAGAGGGCTTGGTGCCGGGTTGATGACGACAGAAGAACAATGCCCTTCCCCCTCCCCCTCCCTCCCCTCCCCTCCCACAAAAAAAAAAAAAAATGTTTGGTGGGCAGAGAGGACAGTGGGGAAGCCGGTAAGGGAGCAGTCACGTGGTGTGTGAAGGTGCGGGAAGAAGAGAGGCTACAGTCGATGTACAGCCATGCAAAACGGATAGCAATGCAGTGGATGGCAGTGGCATGAGATTGGTAAAGAGGTTGGGTGGGTGGGTGGCATGGACATGGTGGGTATGGCTGTGTGGGGGTCATGGAAGGAGAGGGGGAGGGGGGGGGGGGCCTTGACAGTATTGCCCAATGAGCAATGACTGACAACAACGTACGTTGGTGGTTGGCCAATTGGTGGCCATGACACGGCAGCACCAGTGGTCGGTGACATGAGCAAGTCGTCACATGGTTCTTCCATACATGCCGAAGGCACTCTCCGTCGCTTTCGTCTCACCTCTGGCTGGGCAAGGGCCACTGCCGCAGCAATAGCTGCAACAGATGGTTGGGCCTTGGCCACATCCTCGCTCATTCACACAATGCCCGAGTCGAGTGTGAGTGGGGAGGGAGGGAGAGGAGGGTGGTGTGAGCCTCAGCTCTGCGGGTGACCGCCGAAACTCAAACTCGGTTGGACAAAAAAAAATATTAGCACCCACCCCCCACCCGCCATCCACTCAGCCAACCCCCCCCCAACCTCCCAGCAACCAACCAACCGCCGCCCGACAACAGGACACGGCGCCGACAGAAAGGGGGCGGGAGGCTGCATAGCGGGGAGCACTCCACGCCAGCCCAGGGCAGACGTCAACCAGGCTAGCGCTCGACCCGCACATGTCGTTCCCCAACCGGCCGATGCGGCGTGTGCACGCAGGCGGACAGCAGAGCGGGAGTGGTGGCGAGCGAGCGAGCGGAAGGACGAGCCGGAGCTACTACGCCCATGTCCATCGTGAGTATCGTGCAGAAGCAGCAGAGCTGTTTGATCACGCGCCCAAGTCGGCGGCTCGCTTGGCATACAGACATACCTTGGAGAACCTTGATCCCGATGGCTCGACTGCTGCTATGCCGTCATCGTCATGGATCGACTCGATTCGTTTGTCGGATGAGGACGAGGTCGATGACGCCGGTGATGACGTCCACCAGAGCTCACTGAGGGCCCTGGGTCTCTCCGGTCTCATCGGCGGTGGCACTGCTGTCGCTGCCTCGACTCCCGCTCTTGACGCGGGCGATGGCCTGCATGCGGGCACCGCCAAGGAGGAGGCCAACAACAAGATGCGCCAGAGCAGGAGGGATCGCAAGAAGCAGATCGTGGTCTCGGCCCATGCCCAGGGCTCGCGGACGCCGCATTATCTGGCGTCGTCGCGGAACGTACCGGCGCTGGTGACAGAGACGAGGAGGATTGCCTCAGAAGCCGCAAGGGTACGCGCCCAACTCCGCGCCTCGCGTGCGGCCGTCTCAGCTATGAACGCTTCGCGATCAAAGTCGCATTCGGCGGCGATGCGGGCTGCCCGGTCGACACATGCAAAGACTGTGGATTGCAAGTCTACCGAAGAGGCCAGTACTGAGGCGGACGTCGAGCCGCAGCCGCAGCCGCAGCCACAGTTGCCGGTTGTGACGCGGGTGCCTGCGCCGCCGGCGTCACCGCCGCCTCCGCCCGGGCCGGCACGTGGACGGCGGCGGGCGGTACCGGCCAAGACCGACGATTCGACAGGAGCGAGGCCGCAGTCGTCGGTACGTGCGGCGCGGGCGTCCAAGGCGGCGGCGAGCGTGCGTGAGCGGCAGCGCGAGCATACCCGGCAGCTGCGGCAGAAGCGTGTGGCACTGGAGACCAAGGAAGAGCAGATTGCGGCCCGACTGGCGGCACGTGCGGTGGCGGCGCGTGAGAAGGCTGCTGCGTCGATGGCGGAGCGGCGTGCGCGGCTGGAAGCGGCGCGGCAGGCGCGAGAGGATGAGCAGGCGGCCCGACGAGCACGGGCGCGGCGGAAAGAGGCCAATCGGCTGGTGGCGGTCAAGCGTAAGCAGCAGCGGATGGCAGCGCGGGCGCGGGCAGTGCAGTTGGAGACCCGTGCTACCTTTGGGCGAGTCCTGTCCAAGCGCGCACAGATCGAGGCCCGTGAACGCGAGCAGCGCGCCGCGCGGGCCGCCGCTGAGCGCGAGCGGACTGCCAAGGCCATCGAGACCGCTGTGCTCAACGAGCGTATTGCTGTGCTCAACAGACAAGTTGAGGCCGTTGTGACCGAGAAGCGGCGGCAGGCCAATCTGGCACGGCTAGAAGAAGAGAACGCTGCCAAGCAGGAGGCCATGCGCGCAGCACACGCCAAGGTCGACGCCCGCGTCGGCTCGATCCAGACAACCACTGTCCGAGTCCGCGCCAAGCTCGACGAGGAGCACCGGCGGCACGCTCACGCCATGGCCGCCCTCACCGCGCGTATTTCGCTCACCACTTCACAGGCCGAGATCGATGCCCTTGAGGCCGAGCTCGAGGCTGAGACCCAGGCCTCGCAGCACAACGTCATGTTCATCCTCACCCAGCCGCCACCGCGGACTCCGCCCTGAACACCCGATTGTATTGCTGTCGGTAGTCAGCACGGATGTTATTTTTAGCCGCGGCCACGGCCACGCCCGCGCCCACCACGCCCGCCGCGTCCGCGCTTGCCACTGCTACGTCTCCCGCGCCCACGCCCGCGCCCGCGCCCGCGCCCGCGTCCGCGTCCACGTCCGCGCCCACGATACTGACGCTGCGACGGCGAACCAAACGGTGACGACGGCGACGGCGACGCAAAGCGGCCGAGCTTGGCTGGCGTCGACGAGCCTAGGGCCATCCACATGCTCTTGCGTTCGACAAGCTTGCGCCAGTGCGCAGCACGGGCTCGGGCGGCCGAGAGCGTGTCGTCCGGTGCGTCGGCGAGAAGCTCACAGAGGTTGTCGACCAGGTCGGCGGCGGCAGCGAGCTCTGAGGTCGGGTTGGAAGAAAAGCCCGAGGCTGCGGCCGAGGCGTGCAGTTCATCAAACGAAGAGAGACACTCACCAAGGCCGGGAACGGCGGAAATGAGGTTGGTACGGAGATCAAGCTCGGTCCAAGGCTGGGCATCAGGCGCAGTGAGCGTCTCCACGAGCGAGGAGGTGCGGACAACAGGAAGACCCATTCGCTGGGCAGTGACGAGCATGCCGCCATCCTCGGTCACGAGGACATAGTTGTGATCCTCAGGCGCGGCGAGCACTGCATGGTAACGCACGGTGTCAACAAGCAGGTTGTCGGTGGTGAGCGAGGCCGGGTTGTCGGGCAGGTACGCAGTGTGCCACTCGTCACCGGCGAGCTTGTACGCGCCCTCAAAGGCGGCGCGCGATGGGTAGACGACCAGGCCGGCCTCGGCGGAACGGGTTAGATCGTCCTTGACAAACCGGGCGATGGCCGACCGAACCTTGGACGGCGAGCCGGAATAGGACTTGACCGCGTCGAGCTCTCCCATGACTGCGTCACAGACGACAAAGGCAAAGGAGAACGGCGTGTCGTTCGACTCGGTGCCATCGCTCTCGTCACAGGCATCAAACAGCGCCTCGACGAGTGCGGAGAAGAGACCGCGCTGGGTGAGGAGAATGAGCGCATTGGTGTCGAGAACGAGGAGGAGCTGGCCACCGGCACCGTCAGCTGCTGAGCCGATGGCGACGTTGGCAGCATGTGTTGGGGCTGAAGCCGAGGCCGAGGCGGATGCATCTACCAACTGCGCGCGATGGTGCGGTAGCGCCGTCCGCTGTGCATACAGGTACGGCAGGTGCAACAGCGGTGTCGGGCTGGCGGCGCAGCGCTTGGGCGAGCAGCGACGGGCGTGGCGGTCCATCTGCGAGACGATGCAGTGCGAGACATGGGCGTTGTCGAGGGCCTTGACCAGAGCCTTGGCTTTGGCCACGTTGAACTCGATACGGAGCCAGAGGGGGACGGCGGCAGCCTTGGCCTCCTGCGCATCGGCCGCCATGAAAGCCAGCGCCTTGGCGGCGCTTGTGTCGAGCTCGTTGTGCGAAAAGTGCAGCTCGCGGAGGGAATGCAGGGTGAGGACGGCCGAGAAGACAGCCGGTGGCGGGCCGGCCAGCGCGTTGCGGAAGGCCTTCAAGATGATGACGTCGAGCGAGGAGGCAACAAGTGGATCGGCGAGCGCCGTGAAGAGCAGCTGCAAGGCCGGCCAAGTCAGCGCGTTGTCTGCGAGCATAAAGACTGTGGGCAAGCGGAGATCCGACCCAGCCTCGGCCATGGCCTCGTTCACCGCCATCCCCATGGCCACCACACTCTTCACCAACGCAACCATGGTCGATCCGTCCTCGTCGTCGCTAGGGACGTGATCGTGGCCATCGTCGCCGTGCCCGGGCCCGAGTCCAAGCCCGTGACTCTGATCGCCGTCACCTCGGTCTCCTCCATCTTGTCGGATCCAAGACTCGACGAGGGCAGCAGCACGGCCAGGAGAGAGGCCATCTCCAGCCAGCCGTCGCGACGAGGCACGGATCTCCAGCTGGACGCCGTACGAGTTGGCCGACCGCGAGGTGACCATGATGACAAACTCGCTCCCGGCGCACAGCTCGGCCGCGCGTGCGCTCAGCACTGCATGCTGTACCTCGTCCTTGTACCAGCAGGTCATAGAGGGGGGCGGGGGGGGGGGGGGGGACAGGGAGCGGTGGTGGGCTCGGGCAGAGACGAGCCGAATGGAATCGGTCAGACGCTCGAGGGGCTGTTGGGCCTGATCGAGCCGAATCGGCGACGGGTAGCGGCATAGCGGCATAACATATAAATAACTATGACGACGATATGTTGGGGGTAATACATGTTATCAAGCGATGGCTGTGGCTACGCATGGCCTGTGGCTACCGAGACCGCCTCTTCGTCCTCCTCGTGGGCGTAGCGGATAACAAAGATGGCAGGCGTCTCGGCCGAGTGAATGATGTGGGTGGCGGTGGAGCCGAGAACGAGGCGGGCCATGGCGCCCATCGACCGGGTGCCAACCACAAGGATGTCGACCTTGTTGGCCTTGGCCTCCTCGACAAGGACCTTGCGCGGATCGCCGATGCGGAACGAGGCCGAGCACTGGAGACCGGCCTTGACCAGCCGCTCCTGGTGCTTGGCCTCGAGGGCGAGGACAGCCTCGGTGACGTACACGTTGCGCGTCTCCTCGTTGCCGAGCCACGCATCGAGATCGTCGTGGAGGCCAAAGAACGGCTGAAAGGCCGAGACCAGAAAGATGTGCTCTTGCTTGCCTGCTATGGCCGTCACGCCCTCGAGCGCCGCCAGCGCCGCCGTCGAGTCGTCCAGCCCCACCAGCCACCGCCGCGCATGCAGATGCTCGTCGGCCGCAGGCGGCTCGCGGACAACAAGAATAGACTTGTGGCACTGGTGCAGGAGCGCCGTCGACATCGAGCCCAGCAGCGTCCGCTTGATCGTCCCATGCCCGCGCGAGCCCACAACCACCACGTCGACGTCCTCGGCCGACGCTCGCTTGATCAGCTCGTCCTTGGGCACTCCCAGAAGCATCTCAGCCCTGGCCCTCACCTCGCCCGAGTGCAACTGGCTCATTCCCGCCGCAACCTCGGTCACGAGCTCACGCGCCTTGGCCTCCTCGTTGGCCACAAACCGCGCCAGCGCAGACAACTCCGTCTCGCCCACCAGCGCGCTCGGCATCGCCAGCGAGTCCGCCGACCCGGGCACCGCGCTCACCACCACCACCTCATCGCCCGGCCGCACAAGCCCGCGCAGCGTCATCTCGGCCGCCTCTCCATAGCTCGATCCATCCATACACAGCAGCCACGTGCACGGTGTCGGGATAGGCGACGGCACATCTCCGGTTGACTGTGCTGCAGCCATCTGTCTTGTATCTTGCTCTTCTTGCGCTCGCTTGCCACTAGCACTGCTCCCCCCCGACCCCCCAACCCCACCCGGCATCGCTCTGTGAGTCTCAGGGTAAAAAAAAATTGACTGCCGAGACAATGTGCATGTGCCCACCCCCCCCCCCCACCTCCACCCACCCACCCAGCCCTCCATGCCCATACCATGCCTCCTTTCCCTCCCCTCCCCTCCCTCCCTCCCTCCCCACATACCTTGTACACGCTACTACTTCTTGCCTCACCAGCCACTGGAGGTACGACAAGTGTTTGGCGCGCTGTGGTCGAGGCCAGGCGCTGGAGCCACGGCGTGGTTTTGCCCCTTCGTGCCTGTGTCCCAAAGCTATCCATGCCCGGTGGCCCTGTCCCACACTGACCCAGCGACGACCGACTCCGATCCGGCACAACCTGCCACTCCCGCCCACAAAACCAAGACCAGCAGCACGCCGCTGCAGGGCCACAATCCCATCCACAGCAGATATTTCTTGACATGGTCCGTGGAAGCTGCCTCGTCTCGGTTGTTGCCGGCGCCAAGGACATGCTCTCTATCGAGCTGCTGACGCCGATCATGGCCGCGTTTGGGGTCGAGGCGAGCGAGATCAAGGTGTTGAGCGACTTTGCCACGGCCGTCCCGCACGGCGAGGCCGTCATCGGCTTCGCCTCGCCGGCAGACGCGGCCAAGGCGGCGCGGATTCTCGACGGCGCCGCAGTCGGCGAGCTGGTACTGGCGGTGAAGGATGTGTCGGCGCCGGCGGCTGAGCGGACGATCGCGGTGATCGGCGCCGGGTTGGCCGGCGCGTCGGCCGCGCTGTCGGCCGCCGAGCTGGGCGCTACTGTCATCGTCCTCGATAAGGAGGCGCGCGGTGGCGGGAACTCGGCCAAGGCCTCGTCTGGCATCAACGGGGCAGGGACGGCGTTCCAGGCCGAGGTCGGCATCGACGACAGCCCGGCGCTGCTCATCGCCGACACGATGGCGTCGGGCAAGGATAAGGCCGACCCCAAGCTCGTCCATAAGCTCGCCCACGACTCGGCGGCGGCGCTGGCGTGGATCGAAAAGACGGCTGGCGTTGCGCTCAACGCCGTCGTTGCCACAGGTGGACACTCGGTGGCACGGACGCACCGGATGGCGGCCGAGCCTGGCGCGCGGCCGGTCAACCTCGGCTGGGGCCTCATGCGCCCGCTCCTCGACGCCATGCACGCCCATCCCAACATTTGTGTGGTGAACGGCGCCACGGCTGTCGGCCTTGACACCGCCGCGGGCGTGGCGCAGGTTCGCGGCGTCGTGGCGCGCATCGTCGGCGCAGACGCGCCGATCACGCTCGCGGCGAGCGCGGTGGTTCTGGCGACCGGCGGATACGCGGCATGCAGCGAGCTGCTTCCAGACCACGTCGCGGGCCTTCCGACCACCAACGGCGCCTTTGCCACCGGCGATGGTATTGAGCTCGCAAAGCGCGTCGGTGGTCTTGTCGGCAACCTCGATGCGGTCCAGGTCCACCCGACAGGCTTTGTGGATGTGGCCGATCCGGGCGCGGGGACCAAGTTCCTGGCGCCCGAGGCGCTCCGCGGCTACGGCGGGGTCCTTGCCACGCCCGACGGCGAGCTGATTGTCGACGAGCTGGCAACCCGCGACGTGGTGTCGGCGGCGATTCGCGCCGCCTGTGAGCCTGCATCCGGCGCGCCGTCGCCAGTTGCCGTCCTCCTGATGAACGCCGAGGTGGCGTCGGGCTTTGACCCGGCCATCTTTGACTTCTACGTGAGCAAAGGCCTCATCCACTCGTTTGGCAGCATGGCCGAGCTCGGGGCGTGGGCCGATGGCGTGTTTGGCGGGCAGGCGGGCACGGACGGAGCGAGGCGGAGCAAGGCGTACGAAGCGGCAATGGCGGCGCGCGGGCGAGCGGTGACGAGCCCGATGCACGCGGCGCTCATCACGCCGGCAGTCCACTACACAATGGGCGGGGTGGGGATCAACCCGGATGGGGCGGTCCTCCACGCCGGCTCTCTGGTCCCGATCCCGGGACTCTACGCCGCAGGCGAGGTGACAACGGGGGTGCACGGGGCAAACCGGCTCGCCGGCAACTCGCTCCTCGAGTGCGTGGTGTACGGGCGGGCGGCGGGCCGATCGGCAGTTCTGCATCCTACACGGCTGCCTGCGCTCTCGCCGACCGAGTGGGTATCGCTGGAGCTAAAGTCGGTCACGCCGCTCTCGAGCTCGTCGTCGCTCTTCTCGTTTGCGCTCCCGTCGGCGCACCACATCTCGGGCCTCGGACTCGGCGACTATGTCAAGATCCGTGCCGAGGTCGACGGCGCCGCCATGGTGCGGTTCTACTCGCCGATCTCGCGCGACGACGCGCTCGGACACCTCGATCTGTGCGTCAAGACGGCGGCGGCGGATGCCGGCGGCATGGCGGCGCACTTTGGCAGCCTCGCACCCGGCGACATCCTCGAATTCTCCGGTCCAGCTGGCGGGCCGCACCTCTCGATGGCAACGACCGAGAAGACCGCGTTTGGCTTGCTTGCCGGCGGCACCGGCATCGCGCCGATGCTGCAGCTCATCCGCGCTGCACTGCTCAAGGAGCGCAAGATCGGGACGGCGACACGGCTCGATCTGGTGTATGCGGCCAAGAACGAAGACGAGATCCTGCTGCGCGAGGTGCTTGAGGCGCACGCCGCCAAGCACCCCTCGCTCTCGCTCTACTACGCGCTAATGGAGCCGCCGGCCGAGTGGGACATGGGTGTGGGCTTCATCACGCCCGACATGATGGCGGCGCGGCTCCCGCCGCCTGCACCGTCGACCATGATCCTCATCTGCGGGCCGCCACCGTTCTGCGCCGCCATGCGCCGCGGCCTCGACAGTCTCGGCTACCTCGATGGTGAGCACTACTACTCGTACTGCTGAGCACTTGGCGGCTACACGTTGAGGCCGATGCCGACGGCGGGTCACGTGACGTGCTCCGGTGTGCGAGGCGTCACACGTGGTCGTCCGGCGAGCGAGCAAGCGCATCGCCATCCCGGCTCACCACCGTCGCCTCGTCGATGCTCTGTGTGCGCGTTGTGGGAATGGCGCTCAGTAGTCACGAAGCAAATTGATGGGAGGCGTGGTTTTAGCAGTTTTTGGAGGGAAACCCAGTGGCGTGGCCGCGTCCGACCGTTGCACAACAGCGCGAGGGAGGAGCACTTACTTGTCGCAGTGAGTTGAACCGATCATGAAGCCGCGGGGACTCGCCATCACAACAAGCATGCTGCACGCCATTGCGCTCGGCATGCTCATGTCCACCTTTTTCATGCCCATGTGGCTGTACCACAAGTCGACGCAGACCGTTGTCTTTCCCAGCGGGGGCACCTTTAATTACGACGTCGAGTTGAAGGTCGGCCTCACAAAGTACATCGCACAGACCGGAAACGGTGAGTCGACCGTCAAGTTCTCCGACAAATCCTGCCAGGACGACAAGGTACGCCTTTTTTTTTCCCCCCCGCCCCTCCCCCCCCCACCCCCTCCCCCCCCCCTCCCCCCCCTCCCCTTTCTGCCCGCTATCCCGCGCTCTCTACTCGCTTTCCGCTGCGCTAGGCCCCGTGAGAGACACCTTTGCACGCTAGCCGGAAACGGAGCAACGGTTGGAAGGGGCTCTGAACTGGATGGGGGTTTTTTTGTATCGCCTGTACCGGGATATGACTCACTCCTCGCTTTCACAGTGGTGCAAGGATCACAAGGTCCGATCGGATGTGACGCTCGCGTTCCTGGCCATGGCTGTAGCTGCAGTGGCGGTGGCGACCGGCGGTGCCAACGCCGCGGCGTTTGGTGGCATCGGCATCGGCGCCATGGTGGCCGCGGTGGCCGACCTGGTGGCAGTTGTCTTCTGCATCGTGGCCATGCTCAACTACTCGATGATCAAGCGCGAGAGGGAGTCCGGCAAGTACGACTTCTCCACCTCGTTCTTCATTGCCTGGGTCGGCACTGTCCTGCTCATTGTCGCGGCTGTCCTCTCGGTCCTCGGCATTACCTCATGGAAGGGCAAGGGCTCCTCGGTCTCGCCCAACCACGACTCTGAGAACAAGCGCCAGGACGAGGCTTCCGACGATAGCGAGAGCTCGTAAGCAATCCTGTCCGCTCGGCCTCTTGCATAGAAGCCGACGCTATCCCCTCCACACACAACACACACACACACACACACACACACACACACACACACACGCATGAAGTCACACGCATGCGTCGCCGAGTGTCGCGCCATAAACCAAGACCACCCTACCCGTCGGCCATCGACGCCAGCGCCTCGCCGATAACTTGCAGGCGACCGGCAAAGGCTTCTGCGAGCTGCGGATGCGCGTTAGCAAGTCGCGAAGCCTCTGCGTGCCACTCGCCAGCAAGCACACCATCACCGGTCCCGAGTACCGCCGCCTGGCAGCCGCGGAGCAGGGCGTCAATGAGCGTTTGTGGGTCACCGAGATCGCGGGCCCACGGCAGGACCGCGTCGGCCACAATGGTAGCCGCGGGAGCATAATCGTGGTCGTTGAGCATGAGCTTGACGAGCGTATCGGCCGTCTGCCCGTCGGTTGGCTTCAACGAGTACGCCTTGTGGAACATCGACCGCGCAAGCCGGTAGTCACCGACACGGATTGCCGCGACTCCGCCGTTACGGAGTGCGTCGAGGTTCTGCGGCGCGCACGAGAGCGCCGTCTCAAACAAGCCGAGGGCATCGGCGGGTCGCCCGGCCATGAGCGTCCACACCGCAACTTCGGATAAGACCACGCCGCGGACGCCAGCCCGCAACCGCGCGATCTCGGTGGCCGAGAACGCCACCTCGCTTGCCTCGATGAGCGCTGCCCGGAGCGCCACCTCTGCCGGCGTCTCCTCGCGCCCGCTATGCTGGACATGACAGAGCGCCAGCACGATCCGTTCACCAATCACGCCGGTTGGATGCGACGCCAGCGCGGTAGAAAGCGCCTCCACGCCAGTCTCGCTCTCGTCAAGCACCTCCACCTGAACAAAGCCAATGGCGGCCGCCATCTCGGCTGCAGCCTGCGGCGAGACGCTGGCGGCAGCGGCGGCAACAGCTGAAAAGACTGGTGCCAGTGCCTCCCTAGCTGCACTTCTGTCAAGGCCGAGCTTGGCAAGGAGTGTGCCGAAACTGCTCAGCAGCGCGCCGCCGGAGACCAGCGCGCTCTCGTCGAGCTCCTCGGAAGCGGCGCAGCACCGCACAAGGCCCTCGCCCATCAGCACGCTTGCTTCGGCGCAGCACCCGGCGACGCTCGAATAGAAGAGAGCGGCCGAGTGGAGCGTGTTGATGTGGGTAGTGAGTGAGCCCGAGGCAGCCACGAGCGGGAGGATGGCTGTAAAGGCTGCGGCACCATCAGCGACTGACGGTGGCGAGCCAAAGGCAAACCGGACCGCTGCATCGCTCGCCATCTCGGCGAGCGTTGACGATGCCCCGCTGGCCTTAGGACAGAGGCCAAAGAGGGTGGTGTAGACGGCGCAGGCACTCTCGGTATCGTGGAGCTCATCAACAGCCCAGCCAAGCATGTACAACATCTCTATCCGGTCCTCGACCGGCGCCAGGCCTGCGAGTTGTTCACTCGCATCAAACGTTCGCATGAGATGGACAAGGTCGGCGGCGCGGCGGGCAGCGAAGAGGGAGCGGCACATTTCGGCCACGTCGTCGGCAGTTAACATCTCGTCGCGAGCCAGCGTCTCGGCCAGCCGCGCGTCGAGTTCGACGTTTGCAGCGTCGACGGCGTGCTGGGTGTGGCAGCCAAACGAGACCGGAAAGGTGGCGTAGTGCTGGTGGGCGATGCGAAGGAGCGAAGACGAGATGGCGTGACGCCGTCGGTTGCGGTCGTTGATCGAGCCAAGCAGCGCCCGCGACGCGTAGCGGCAAGCGGTGGTGACGTTGTCGGTGTGGTCAAAGGCGAGCTGGGCAAGAGTGGCCGAGACTAGCGCATCGCCACCCGATGAGTGATACAGGGCTTCGAGCCTCGGCATGTGAACGGTGACGACGGTGTGCGCGAGCTCGGGATCGCAGGCAAGGCGGCGGGCTTTGATGTCGAGCTCGATGTCGCGTACGTTGGCGGTGACATAGTTAGGCGCGACCGCTAGCGCGGCGGCAATGTGAGCACGGGCTTCGCCGTCATCGCCGAGGACGACCGATGCAAACCTTGCGACATTGGCGTGCGCCCGTGCCAGGTCAAAACTCCGCTCACGGGTCTCCGGCTGGCGCTCGATACCGGCGATGACAAGGTCCATGAGCGTCTTGTAGCGGGCGATGAGAACCGGGGTGTCGCGGGCGCCAGCCTCGATCTGCTCCGTGATGATGCCGGCCCAGTTCGAAGCGGCCTCGACTGCAGACGGCCAAGCCTCGAGGGACGCCAGGTAGAGCTCAGCAGCCTGAGCGTAGCTATCGTGGAAGGTGGCAGCGCCCGGTGATGGGAGCGGGGTAGCTGTGGCCGCGACGACGCAGGCGGCGCAAAGGACGATGGGCTCGGAGCACTTGGCGATGCAGACGTAGGCGGCAATCGTGCCGTCGGGGCCCGGCACGTGGGCGGTGTTGCGAAGGCAGGCCGAGCATGGTGCGGCCGGGGCGTCGTCGGCCACCACTAGGCCGTGGGCGTGAAGCATGGTGAAGGTGCCGACAGAGGCAAGGAGGCAGGTGGCGCAGAGATCAAAGTCGCAGTCAGGCTGGGAACAGTGAACAGTGAGTGGGCTGTGCGGGTCAGTAACAGCATCGCACACGTCGCAACCAAAAGTACCGTCCCGTGGGCCGGGTGGGACTAGGCCGTGGGAGTGGACCGCCGTGGTGTACGGCGGGGTGAGGTGCTGATGCGACGAAGACGCGGCATTGTCGACACCAAACTGCAGCGCAAACGCCATCGAGAATGGGCGAAGAAAGATGTCGTCGGTGCGCGGATGGAAGGAGGCTCGAGCAGCGGCGAGGACCGAGGTGCCTGGCGCGAGAAAGCGGTTTGTCCACTCGGGCGCGTTGGCCGGCGGCAGCGGGGATTCGAGGGCAAGGCCGAGGAGCGAGGCGAGGCGGGCGGCGAGGAGTGGCGCGCAGAGCGCATCTGGGGTGCAGCGGGAGAGGACGGCGGCGCGGATGGCGGCGTGCGAGCGATGGCCATCAACAAAGACCGAGAGAGTGAGCGCGGCGGGGAAGACCGTCGAGTAGAAGACGGAGGACCACTCGGTTGGAGCGCTGGGATGGCGACAGAGGGTGTCGACAAACTTGGTAATGACGGCGCGGCGGCGGGCGTCAAGCTCGGCCGGGGGCATGTGAGCACCCAGGGTGGCGGTGGCGGCGGCGGCGGCGGCGAGCTCGCGAAGGTGGCTGTGTAGAAGCTCGCGGGCGACGCGCGCGGCAAGCTCGTGAGCGACGAGCGCCGCAATGGGCGAGTCGTCCGAGAGGTGGAGCAGGAGCGCGCCAAGGTAATCGACGTTGATGCCGGCGGCGTTGAGAGTGACGACAAAGAGGCGCGCGGTGTCGACGACATCGGCAGGAGCGAGCGAGGCCAGCGGGGTGGCGAGGAGAGGCCAGCGGTGTGGGGCGGCCCAGTTTGCAGCAAAGGCCGGAATGAGCTCGTTCTCGAGCCGGGCCGACGCCTTGATGATGGCAGCGTTGTGGCCGGCGAGAATCGACGTGTCGCGGGCAGGAGCGCCCCAGAGCGAGTATCCGTCGGCGCAGAGTGGCGTGCTGTGACCCTGGACGAACTCAGGCCGAAAGAGGCGTGTGAGATGGGGGGCGCGGACGGAGGAGTGAAGGGCGTCGGGCGGCGGGAGGGCGCGCGGTGGGAAGACTCGGTGCGTGTCGAGGACGTAGATGCGATCAGCAACGGTGTGAGCCTCGATGTCGCCACAGAGGGCCATAGTGCGGACAGCGGGCTCGGAGAGGCCGACACCATGTGGGGCAAGGCCCCAGTAGGCACCGACGTCAGCCATCCAGGCGTTGACGGCTGGAATGTCTGCGTGGACGGTGTGGCCGCCGTCGGACGAGCCGTAGACGAGCGAGTCATCCGTAATGGGCAGCAGCGAGAGGGCGAAGATGGTGTAGCCCATGTAGTGGACGACGCAGGCGAGCGGGAAGCGGACAGCGATGTCGTGGGCGGAGACGATCCACGAGTGGGAGACTGCCCACGAGAGGAGAGCTTGCAGGCCGGTGAGCTCGTGGCCGGCGGCGGTGGCGGCCTCGGCGTCGGAGCCGTAGATGCCCTCCGAGTCGAGAGCAAGCTTGAGAAAGATGCCGCGTGCGGCGTACTTTGTGCCACCGGCGACGCCGCCGACAGAGTCAAGCGCCGGCAGAGAGCGGGCTTCGTTGGGCAGGTGGACCTCCGAGACAATCGTCGAGGTGAGGGCGACGGCGACCGAGTGAAACTCGGCAAGAAGGGCGCCGAGCTCCAGGCCGCGGCGCGATGCCGAGTCGGACGCCGTGTCCCACGAGCGGGACAGGATGACATCGAGGCGCTGGGCCCAGTGCTCGGCCACGTTTGAGCCAATGAACGATGCCGGAGATTCAGCGAGGGGGCGGTGGGGGCGTTAGACGCGGCGCAGGTTTCCGTGAGGGTGGGTCCACCCAGTGTGGCGTCGGAGCTTGGTGGGGTGGGTGCAACTAGCGTGGCGTAGGTGCTGGCTGGAGCCGATGTGGGCGGCGTATCGGGTGCGCCCAGTGTGGCGTAGGTGCTGGCTGGAGCAGATGTGGGCGTATCGGGTGCGCCCAGTGTGGCGTAGGTGCTGGCTGGAGCAGATGTGGGCGGCGTATCGGGTGCGCCCAGTGTGGCGTAGGTGCTGGCTGGAGCAGATGTGGGCGTATCGGGTGCGCCCAGTGTGGCGTAGGTGCTGGCTGAAGCAGATTTGGGCGTATCAGGTGCGCCTAGCGTGGCGTAGGCACCTATCGACGCGGGTGCAGCGCCTGCCTGCAGTCCGCCAGGCGATGGCAGCAGCGGCAAGACCGCATCGAAGGACTCGACAGACTCGATCACGTCCGCACGCGCTGGTGCGCCAAGGTCCGCATACGCCACCTCGAGCGCCACGGCGTACGCGCTCTGCATCGCCACGCTCGGCGCTGTAGCCTGGAACAGAGTGGGGCGGGCGTAACCGGCCATTCTCTCCGCTGCTGGTCGTGAGCTGAGAGGTTAGCTGCCAGCCGACGGAGCCTGTGCATACAGAGGGAGCCGGGCAAGGTCGAAGCGCAGCCAAGGGGAAGGGGGAGTGACAGACACACGCACAATTTTTCCCACCCCCACCCCCCACATCCCACCCCAGGTCACACGCACACACCCTCACTGCTGGCCAGGTCACACGCGCCGCGGCACCGGCACGCGGCTTGGCAGCACAGACCTCACCACCCTCCGCCGCTTCCTCGGCCATGGACTCGGAGACGCCTCCGCTCCTCTCTACAGCCGGCAGCACGCGTGCTGCGGGCGCGGGCACGAGCACGACACGGCGCATGGCGGTGGCGACGGCGGCGGTGGCGGTGGTGGCCACCGTCCTGCTCGTCATCTTTGCCGCCCTCTACGCCAAGCAAAAGAACGATGCGTCTGAGCTGCGGCGGCAGGTCGCAGCGTACGAGGCCATGTGCGGGCCGGATGGCTGCGCCCCGCCGTCGGTCGTCCCGCACAACGCCTCGGCCGCCTGCCGCGTCCCGCTCCCCGCCGACCTGCCCACTCCGGCCGCCATCGCCAGCGAGGTGCGGGCGGCGTGGGCAGCGAGCACGGTGCGCAACGCCGCCATCGCCGCAGGGAGTGACCTTGCCGCTGCTGATCGCGCCGCCACCGTCGCGGCCATCCCGTCCTGGCTCAACTCCTCGACCATCGTCGTCATGCGCGGCGGGGCATCGTCGCTCATGGGCTTCTCCGACACCGACGAGGCCTTTGTGCAGGAGTCATCGTTCTACTACCTCACGGGCCTCAACGTGCCCGATCTGGCCCTCATCGCCGTCCCCGCCGCCGGCGCCCTCGACTACACCCTCGTTGTTCCTCACCACGACGAGCAGTACGCCGTGTGGAACGGATACGTCCTCGACCTCGACCAATGGGCCGCCTTCTCCGGCTTTGACCACGTCATCTATGACACACAACTCGAGGCCCGTCTCGCAAACCTCACCGCGCCCAACGGTCCAGCCTCCATCGTGTACACCCTCCCGGGTACCACTCCGCCGCTCCCGGTCCCGGTGGGCGTTTACGTCGACCAAGACAAGGACCGCCTCCTCGCCGCCCTCAACACCGCCCGTGGCTCCAAGACGCCCGGCGAGCTCGCCGCTCTCCGCCGCGCCTCGCAGGTCTCTGCCGAGGCCCATGCCGTCCTCATGGCTGGCATCCAGCCCGGCTGGTACGAGTATGACGCAGAGGCCGTCTTTCGCCTCACCAACGCGCTCTGCGGCAACTTTGACATGTCGTACCTGCCCATCGTCGGCGCAGGTGTCAACGGCGCCATCCTGCACTACTCGGACAACACCGCCCGCACCACCGCTAGCGACATCCTCCTCATCGACGCCGCCGCCAACGCCCTCCGATACACCTCGGACATCACGCGGACGTACCCAGTCGACGGCACCTATTCCCCGCATCAGGCCGCCATCTACAACATTGTCCTTGCCGCCCACGACGCCGCCGTTGGGGTCCTCGCCGTCGGCGCCTCGTACGCTGCCGCTGATGCCGTCGCCACTCGTCACCTCGTCGAAGGCCTCATCAACGAGGGCATCCTTGTCGGCGATCTCGATCAAGTCCTTGCCTCAAACGTCATCAAGAAGTTCTACCCGCATGGCCTTGGCCATGCTGTCGGCCTCGACGTCCACGACCCGTCGGTCTCGACCTTCCCGCCCAACTTTGTCGGCACCATCGAGCCGGGCATCTACTTTAACGACGCCCTGCTCGGCCCAGCACTGGCCAACCCAGCCCTCGCGCCCTTTATCAACGCCACGGCTGTCAACGCCTATCTTGCCGCCTCGTTTGGCGGTGTCCGCATCGAGGACGTCTACATCATCCACCCCAACTCGGACGTCGAGAACCTCTCCACCGCCGCGCCGCGGACCATCGCCGCCGTCGAGGCCCTCATGGCCACCGACGACTGGTTTCCCGTGTAACCCGAAACGGCTTAAATGCTCAGTGCGTGCAAACCCCGCCCGCGCCACAACTGCGTCGAGCGCCGCCCGTGCCGTAGATGTCAGCATCAACCCGTCCACCAGCTCGCCGTCAAACGCGCCGATGCCGTTGTACGCCCCAAGCACCGCGCCCAGGCAGCTGCCGCGGGCCACGTTCTCGCCGCCGGCGTTGGCGTTGGCCAGCAGCGCGACCGAGACGTCGGCATCATCGCCGTATGCATACAGCAGGTAGAGAAGGACCCGGAAGGCACCGTCAATGTAGCACGCCGCCATCGGCTCACGTCCGGGCCCGTGCAAGGCAGCAAAGGCCGGCAGATCAAACCGCCCGGCAAACGGCTCGTCGCACGCCACCGACGCCGCAGCCGCGCTCGGCGCCACCCCATTGAGCGTTAACCACAACAGCTGGCCGTATGCCGCCACGTACGGCCGGATGTAAGGCACGTTGCGAGTCACACCCAGCACCGCCATCCCGGCCTCCACCGCTGCCTCGGGAACCCGCCCCGGATCACCCGCCCGGCCTCCCCCTCCACCGCCCGCCGCCACGCACGCAAGCACCATCGGCAGTGTCGGAAGCGTAAGCGCGTCGATCGCCGCCACGTTGTGCCTGTCGTCGTCGGCAGCCTCGACAGCAGGCACGCCGTCCAGCACGTGGTTGGCAAAGAACATCCGATGCGCCGTCGCCGCATACGTGTCGTTGTGGCTTCCGGGCGTCGTCATGAACGCCACGTACGCCTCGCGGAACCGCTCCGCCAGGCCCGAGCCTGCGCTCGCGGCGTCCTCTGCCCACGCCTCCAGGCCTTCGACCTGGCCGCTGTCCGATCGCGAGCCGTCGCCGGCAGCACAGCCGGCCAGGACGGTGAGCAGCTGGCCCTCCAGCGTCGGCTCGCCGGCAGCCAGCGAGACGTGGTAGTGGTAATCGGCGCCGCGGGCCCAGTACTTGCGCTTGCCGTGCAGGATGACGTCACCAACCAGCCCCCCGTCATCCTTACCGCGTCCACCGCCCGATGTCGACGAGAGCGAGAGGATCGAGCCTGGCAGCCGCTCGGGTGGCGCCCGGAAGCCCGTGATGCCGTCGGCGCCGAACAGCTGCGGCATGAGCCCCGTCCGGTAGACCCAGTGGGCAGGCATAGCCAACGCATCCGCAATGAGCGCCCCGTACAGCGCGCCGGCTACCCGCTCCACCGCACCGATGTTGCTCGCAGATGCCATGTCGAGTCGTGGCAGGCGAGAGGTGTGGTAAGACAGAGAGTCGCACGTCAGCCTGTTCCTTGACGGCGGTTTTGGCTGACGCATCCGAGGAGCCATCAGCGCTCGTGCTTGACCGTGCCAATGAAGTAGCCTGGCCAGTTGATGGTGGCACAAGCGAAGCTGACGGTCACCACAGGTTCAGCGGCAGCCTCTGCATGCATCAGAGTCGAGAACTGCGGGGTGTGGAGCGGGTAGGCCGAGTAGAGCCGCAGCGGCACGGCGACAACGGCGCCACGTGACACCAGCAAAATGATGTGGCCTTTGCCGTGACAATGTGAAACTGCCTCATGAAATTCATTTGGTTTCTAAACTAAAAAACATATATTCGTATACTTGTAATGTTATTTATACATAGTTTACAGGCAGAAATTTGAAAATGCGCGAAATAGTATCAAGATTATATTTAATTTGAATATATTTATTGCTTTGGTGTGCGTTCTACTGCATTTTTTACATTTCGAAACATCGTGCGTAAGGCCAGAACCGTCGTCCCCCCCGCCACCACTCGCCACACTCCTTTCCTCCCCTGCATCCAGTCTTGACTCTGTGCACCATGCCACATGCTACATTCTACACCCACTCGCGTTCCCCTCTCTGCTCTGTATCGCACAAAGTCGTCGATTTTCTTCAGTTTTCCTCATCCTCCACTATCAAAGCCGCGCATCGCGAGCGACAACCATCCATCATGCGCCGCTCACCGCCCACCATTCATCACGTCCATCCGCAACTTCACGCCTCGCGTGATCAGTGGTTCTTGGCCGTCCAGGTAGGATCCTTCCGCCCCATCCTCGACTAGCATCCGTGTCCGACCGTCGGCTGTCCTCGATCGATCGTTGGCACGCGCCGCCACCACACTCCTCCTCGCTATGCAGGCGATGTACGCGCCCGGCTCGGCGCGGACGCTCCCGCCTAGCGTGCAGCGGCAAGCACACCCCACAAGGCACTATGCGGCTACGCCTTCACCGGTGCACGTAGGGGCAGGCACCGGCGGCGGCTCGCCGTCGTCGCCATGGCACCACCACCAGCCGTTGGAGGGCGCGGTGTCACCGTGGGCGGACGTGACGCCGCGGCCTCGGGTAATGATGGCGACGCCGCGAACAACGGCAGAGCTGGAGGCTGTGGCGTCGCCGCTGCCGTCATCGCTGCTCCGCGAGCGGCTAGCGACGGCCGAGGCGCTGGCGCACTCGCGACTCGTCCGCATCCACCGGCTGGAGGAGCTGGTAGCCAAGCTGCGCAACGAGCTGCCGGACCATGGGGTGACGGCTACGCACCTCAAGCTGAAGGACATGCGGATCGCGCAGCTGCAGGCGCAGTTGGCCGAGATGGACAGGGTCCGCACGCATGTTGCCGGCTCGCAGGCACGGCTCGATGCCGCAGGCGCCCGGTCTGACGCGGTCTCGGCCGCCCTCGTCGCCGCCCGCTCTGAGGCCGACTACCAGGAGCGGGTGCTGAACGCCGAGGTCCGGGCCGACGAGCGAGTCCGCCGTGCGCATGAGCGCGCGCTTGCCCGCGTCAAGGCGCTAGCCAACGCACGACCGGATCTGCTCGATGGCGAGGTGTCGGATCTGTCGCGCCCCGAGCTCGAGGCTGCGCTCCGCGCGGCGCTCGCCGACGCCACCGCGTACGAGACTGAGCTCGTCAACAGCATGGAAGAGAACGAGCTACTGCATGCCGAGCTCGATGAGGCGCGGGGCGGGCGTTTCTCTGGCGGCGCGGCCGGCGCGAGGTCACGGTCACGGTCGCGGTCGCGGTCGCGGTCGCCGGGGCGGTCGGCGGTCGGCGCCTCGCTCGCCGAGCACATCGAGGGCTACCAGGGCAAGCTGGAGGATCTGCGCGAGCTGTACCGGCAGAACAAGGCATTTACATCAAAGCAGCTCTCCGAGTTGCAGGGCATGTACAAGACGCAGGTGCACAAAGTGGCAAGCCTCGAGCAGGAGCTTGCGGCGTCGCGCGACACGGTCGGCCGGCTGTCGACGCAGCTGCTGGCAGCAGCCCACAGCGGTAGCGGTGGTGATGGACGGTAGCGTCGCTGGACGCCATACGGTAGCTAGCTCACGGGTGCCGTGAGCCAGTCGAGGGCCTTGCGGGCGTACTCGTAGCCAAGGAAGCAGGCTGCGTTGGACGGGGCGGCGCGGATCATGCACGGGACAAAGCCGCGGAAGAAGCCACGCCAACCAAACTTGGCGTAGATGCCACGGACGGCGTCGCCGTAGGTCTTGTACTTTTGGCGCTCTGGGACGATCGACTCCGCCTGGATGACCGACTTGACGACGTCCATGGGCATGGCGACGAACCAGAAGAGGACGCCCGACCCTGCGCCTGCCGTAAGGATCTTCCACGCCGGCAGCGGGGCGCCGCTGGGCAGCAGGTCGTTGACGGCCTCCTCGGCCGTGAGCAGCGGGCGCTTGATCGCCTCGTAGGAAAGAAAGTATGTTGCGTTGGCCGGCACGTCGCGGACGAGGGTGGCAAACATGCCGCGGAGCAGCGAGCGCGGCTGGGTCCGCAGCAGCTGCGAGACAGCATCAAAGTAGCCGGTGAACTCGCGACGGGTCGCTGACTGGACCTGCAGCTGGATCTTGACCAGGTCGATGACCGACTCGACCGGGGTGAGCGGGATGCCGGTGAGCGCGCCGGCGATGGCGATGCGCTCGAGCGAGAGACGGGCATGGTCGGGCGTGTCAGCCGGACGGACAAGGTCCTTGGTCATGCCGTAAAGTCCAAAGAGCATCGAGTTAATGACGGCAAGGCCGGCAATGGGTGACTGGACGCCCTTGTACAGCCCGCGGACGCCCTCCTCACGGACAAGTGTCCGCAGCGTCTCGACCATGCCGGCCTCGCCCTCGGCAGCCTGGATGGTCACCTTGGCCGTGTCCAACGGGTGGCACGAGATCGCCTCCAGCAGCCCGCCCGCGCATCCAGCCACAATGTCCTTCCACGCATCGCCGGCCGACTCGGCCAGCGCCTCGGGCACCTCGGCGGCGTACTCAACGGCCTCGCCGACCAGCCCGCTGCCGCCGTTGATCAACATGGGCACCACGCCCTGCGCCTCGGCGTGCGACGCCACCCACGCCCGCATCAACTGGCCGCCGCCTGCTTCGCCACCTGCTGCGCCGCCTGCGCCCGTTGCGGCTACAGAGGCACCCGCACCCGGTGGAGCGGGATGGCCTGCAGGATGAGTAGCCATGGTCAAGGAGTCGGGCTGCGGCCTCTCAGCGAGGACTGCGGGCACGAGGGGGGAGAGAGAGAAGGGAGGGGAGTAGGAGGGAGAAGGGGCTTGCTCTCTGCTGCTCCGATGGCACGTGCGGTGTTTTGGGGAGGAGGGAGAGCAGTGGCTGCCGATGCTGAGCCCTGCCTGCTGCCTGCCACACATTGCCCGCACTGCTTCCATTCGATGATTCTACGGCCAATGCCACACCCATATTGGCCCCGCACGTGGCCACCCACCCACCGCCTCCCGCACCAGCCGCACACAGGCTCACCACGGAGGGGCGGTGGGCGATGGGGGTGGACTGAGGTGGGGAGGTGCTAGAAGAGGCTCAGGGGAGGGGGGGCTGGGATCGCGCCATGGTGTGGGTGCATCTGCTGCACATGTGGTGGTGGTGTGGTGTTGGGGCGGGCAGGGGGGGGGGGGATGGTCACAGCCACTGACAAACGATGAGGGCGGGGGGGG